TTTGGAGTGACCACTTACTAACCCTTCTACAGTGTTTCAACAGTTTGCTGCTCTGTATTAGCATCCTTACTTCATGTTCTCTTTCCTGTAGCATTCACTTGATTCTGACTGAGATCTAGAAAATCTCAGCCTGTTGTGCTACAAAGTGGTGGGGTGGGACCCACTGTATTGAAAACTTAGAAATAACTTGGGTATATATTTGACCTAAGACCTATTTTCTTTAACTGTAAAATGAAGATTCTGGAACTATAATCACTAACTTTGTTTTTTTTTGTAATCTCCATCACTAAAAGGACAAACAATATACATTATGAGGCAGGATGGAAAAGGAAAATGAGATATGGGAAACAGGAGCCAGGAATTCAAAGGTAAATACTGTATTAATGGATACTTAACCCAAAGTGCACAGGCATGGATTTCATTGCTTTAAGCTTCACACTTCCTCATTAAGCTGCAACATAGTCTTTTGTTTTTTTTAAAAGGCAGCTCACTCCCTGTGTAACCTTGCCTGATTGCCCAAATAATTAGTATACTCTGGGATCTGAGCAAGGATATATAAGGAAAGACACGTATGTTGGGGAACATTTGATGAAATGACTCTTTTGATCATAGTAGTGTTTGTAAAGGAAAATATTATCCTAAGGAAAGACACCTGGCTTAAAAGGAGCATCTGATGAAAACCATCCTCTATTTAAAAGGGATGCTCAAGGAAAACACATCTATGTCACAGTGACCCAAATTTAGTAAACTGACCAGACTTGGTATCTCTGGACCCAAATGATGTCAAAACTGTAATAGTGAGAATAATTGAATGTACTAGGTGTCCAGAACATAGGGAAACATTCATTCTAAGGTAAATTTTTTTGGCAGTACTGGGGTTTGAATTCAGGGTCTTGCTCTTCCTAAGTAGGTGCTTTACCACTTAGGCCAAGCCCCCAGTCACTATGGCAAATTTGAGCCAAATCCCCAACCCACTTTTCTTTTTTTTCATGATGTTAAGAGCACTCAGAGCATCTTTTATCAGATGTACCTTCACCTATTTCTGGTTGTGTACTATCTTTGCTTTACTAATAAATTTCTTGGTCTATACCTCAATATATCCTAAAATTCTTCTTTTTCGACAATGTCACCAATCCAGCAGCCAGGGAAAGGCTTCCTCCCTTTTATTTGTCTGAATGAATGTCAACCAAGATATTATTTTCTCCAGGAATACTTTGTGGGCCTCTATAAGAAGTACTATAGGCTTATCTGAAATACACTGTTAAATAATACTTGTTTAACATTTATTCTTTTCCATTAATTTCCCCTAAGGATTTATAAGTTAAATAAGTTCCAACACTTAAACAGTACCTTGCATAGATATTTAATGAAATGAATGATGTCCCAGTAGTAGAAACTTCTGTAGTTTTCAGAAAGCAGTTATTGCAAGTGGACCATTAAGGAACCCAAAGCTTGAATTAATATTAAATTTTAAAATCAAATGGCCAGAATCAAAGTAAATAAGACACAGTTTACATAAAATTTATAACATTTATTTAGGCAAAAAAGATTCCAAAACAATCTGTACATACAACATTAATACTTAAGTGATGTCCTGATTTAATATATAGCATGATTCATGTACAGAACTCTCCCATTTACTCTGGCCATAATTGAGAACAATGCCTTCAGGTTCCAAGACACTAGGAACCTTTTGGAAATTTTACAAGATTATACTTTCAATGAATTTTTCACTATACCTTGAAAGGAAGTTTAAATTCAATCAGAATTTCAAGCAAAAATAGCTTTTCGTTCATACAAGTCAGTGAGGAATTTGAACAGGAATTCTGCAAAAGTCCGGGACTTTTAAAAATGTATTCATGCAAATACTGAGAGTTTACAAATTTGACATAATATTCTCTCATTTTTGAGAGAAAGAAATGCTATCAAGAGTTACCTTTATGAAAGTATCTCCATTTTTATTAGCTAGTAGCTTATTGCCTCAAAGTGATTAAAATAAGCTTAACAACCTCAAACTTGAACGCTTCCTCTAATAAGTAAAACCAAAATCAAGCACATTCTACTAATGAAATTACATTTATTGATTTCCCAGTAAATAATTTCAATAAATTTGGGAACTTTGAAATAGTCTTTCCCTCCACCAATAGAGTAATTTCACTATATGGTTGCCCAGGTTTGTGTCTATTAAATTTGTGGCCAAGATCCTCCTGCCTCAGCCTCCTTCATAGCTGGGCTATAGCGTTATAAGCCTACTACCCACATGTGCTGAATTTGTTTGTTTTTTTTTAAACAGGCGGGTTCTCATTTGTAGCCCAGGATGGTCCTTGAAACTCAATCATTCCTGCATGTGCCACCACATCATAGCTTGAAATATTCTTAAATCCAACCATTTGTTCTGGCTACAAAGTTAAGCTGTGTTTTACTTCATTCAGAGAGTAAATATGAAATGCATTATCTTTGCTAATTTTACACCAAGAAAGTGGGTGGAAGGAAGAAATAGAGTGTACCATATCATGTAAGGTCTATGAAACATTTAACAAGATAAATCAATCACTCGTTTAAAGCCCAACGGCTTTAAATTTAGCAAATTTTCCTAAACACTATTATTTTCTCGTCACTGGACAAAGGCTGGTCTTTCATTATTCCCGAAATAAACAGTTCGTGACTTAACACTGAAAATTAAAATTGTGTCAATACAAGTAATGATAAAGACTACACACCCAGTATCCACAAAATACATAGAATCATTTGAAAAAGCTACAGGGGTTTAAGAGGGAATACAGAAGTTTGCAAACCTCTCTGGAAGCTGCCTCAGAGCAGTTCTGAAGCTCTAACAGTATAAAGTCCCCAAATAAATAACATACAAATAAAACTAGAAGAGCCCACATCAGCTGACAAAATGACACTATCTTTATTTAACTTAAGCCTGCAGCTTAATAATACTGTTTATATCATGATTAAGGTTGTACAATAACTAAATAATGTAAACACACCATTAGAGGGTAGGAAAGGGTACATTTCACCACATACAAAATAGTTCGTTTCTATTGCCCCTGTTAAACCATGGGTACTGTTGCATTGTTTTGGTTTTGGTTTTTTTTTTTTTTTTGGGGTGTGGAGGGGTGGTACTGGGATTTGAACTTAGGGCTTTCTATGCACTCTACTGAGTAAGTCACAACTCCTGCTTGTTTTGCTTTGGTTATTTTGAATAGGGTCTTGCTTTTTGGCCAGGCTGGCCTGGACTGCAATTCCCTCCCCAACTTTTTTCTTGTGAGACTGGGGTTTGAACTCAGGACTTCAAGCTTGCAAAGCAGATGCTCTACCGCTTGAGCCACACCTCCAGTTCATTTTGCTTTAATTATTTTGGAGATGAGGTCTCACTATTTGCCCAGACTGGCCTAGAACTGTAATCCTCTGGATATTAGTCTCCCAAGTAGCTAGAATTAAAGGACTGAGCCACTGACACAGGTCTGTGATCCCATTTTAAGGTTCCTGCCCTCACTGGAATGATAGGTGCGAACCACCATGCCCAGCTTTTTTCCACTAAGATGGGTCTCCCAAACTTTTTCGCCTCAACTGGCCTAGAACTTCAGTTCTCTTGATTTCAGCTTCCCATTTAGGTTGGGATGATAGGCCTATGCCACTGATGCTGGCTAAAAGGACTCATTTGTAAGAGCAAGGTCCTAAACTGGATATATGGGATTGATGTTTTTAAATGTTAGTCTTCAATTCTTTGGAAGATTGTAAATAAACTAACCTTTTATTATTACTTTATTTATTTTTTAACTGCAAAGAGAAAAAAAATTAAATCTTTTTTTTTTTTTCTGGTGCTGGGTTAAAATCCAGGGCTTCATGCATGCTAACCACTCTCTCTAGCACTTAGCTGGGCTGCACCCTTAACCCAAAAGAAAAAAAGAAGCTTTTTTAGACTAGACTATAAAGACCATAGCAAAACTTACTTAATTTACATGATGCAAAGAATAAGATGCCTTAAGTATATTTGCTGTACTTTGTTTTTGTCTTACTCAATGATACCAAATCTGAAATACCTAATTGTTTCTTTTCTTTCTTTTTTCCTTTTTTTTTTTTTTGGTGGTACTGGGGAGATCAAATACATTTCCTTTAACAGATCCAAACCTTGCTGTTGTTGTGGACTAATCTAGTGATGCTTTACAATATCTGAGGATATCAATGATTTGAGTAGTAGATTGTTCAGTCCTAATCTAAACTGGCTTGAAAGAGCACCCTTAAATCACTAAGAGGTAACTTTTTTCTTTTTTGGGGGGAATACTGGCATTTGGACTCAGGGCCTACTCCTTGAGCCACTCCACCAGCCCTTTTTTTGTGAAGGCTTTTTTAGAGATAGGGTCTTACAAACTATTTGCACAGGCTGGCTTCAAACCACAATCCTCCTGATCTCTGCCTTCTGAGTAGCTAGGATTATAGGCATGAACCACCAGCTCCTGGTGAAAGGTAATCTTTGAAGGACCAAGTACCACTATATTCTTGTCTCCAATTTAAAAAGTAGGTCTCATAGAATCTACAGATTCTAACTGTAGAGACTGTCTAGTTATACCTTACAATTTCAATGCATACATCTACTGTATTTTAGTCAGATTCAGGAACCTACAGATGATTCTGTGCTTTAATTCCATATACAATTTTAAGAACCATCCCAAAGAACCATCCCAACCATAAAGGCACTAAAATTTTTATTATTTGGGATATGATCAGTTATTTTACTTTTAAGATTCAGAAGTATCTGGCTACTACTGATGTTCAAAGTAGTAAATTTAAATAATTTTGAGTCTTCATCTATCAAGGAATTACTATGGGCCGGGTAACACCTGTAATCCTAGCTTCTCAGGAGGTAGAGATCAGGAGGATCAAGGTTCAAGACAGCCCAAGAAAGTATTTCTGTGAGACCCTATCTCGAAAAACCCTTCACAAAAATAGGGCTAGGGCTGGGGCTGGGAGTGTGGCTCAGGTGGTAAAGCGCCTGCCTAGCAAATGCAAGGCTCTGAGTTCAAACCCCATGCCCACCAAAAATAAATAAATAAATAAATGGTGTGTGGGGGATTTACTGTTTTCTGTACATTTTAGGCCATGCACTTTTGTCTGGAAAGGTAATATAAAATAGAAATGTAAGTCTAACTTTTCAAATAGTACTTCTTTTAGCTACAAAAGTAGACCTGGAAATGTCAACATAGTTAAATTTCAAGCTATTGCAGGCCATTCTACTTTCTGAATTTTGCCTTAAGACATTAAAATTGAGAAAAAAAAGGCAGAAAAACAAAACAACTCCCCAAAAAACCTCTAAAAGAATTTTCCATTTCCTCTGAAGTAAACAACTTGTGAAAATTCACCTTATATCTAAACAAATTAGGTGAGAAATAAACCACAATTTAATATGTTTTTTCATGTTTATAAGTATTTTTTTTTAGTTTAATTTAGTTTTCATCCCCATGAAGAATTCTCAAAAATTCATCAATCATCGTGATAGTGATATAAATAGTGTCAGAAATAGGATCAGCATATTAAGAAACCAGCTTCTTTCTAAAATGATTCACTCCGAATAACTACTATCATTTAAGTTTCCCATTTAAAATCTCTATTGAAATATTTGGGCCATCTAGGAAGAAAATGCAATCAGTGTGAGAGCTATGTGGCTCAAACTTGTGATCCTCCTGCCTCAGCCTCCCAAGTGCTGGGATTATCCACCATATTTACCTTAAAATAAAATTTTAAATAGAAATTAAGTCTTTTGGTGACTTGCTGTCTCCCAAGTGCAACTTTTTTTTTTTTTTTGTGGTACTGGGGTTTGAACTCATGGCCTTCAAATTGAGCCACTCCACCAGCCCTTTTTTTGTAAAGGTTTATTTTGAGATAGGGTCTCACGAACTATTTGCCCAAATAGTTCTACCACTGAGCTACACTCCCAGCACAAATATAACTTTATGTGCCAAAATTTACTGTTGTCAATTGTATTTTAACTAAGTAGGTTAACACTCTGAGCGTCTCTATTCCACTGAACAAAACTGATTTTGAAATAGAAGGAAAAGAAAAGCTAGTTCTAATCAGTGACTTGTTTTTAAATTCACATTTCAACAATATAACATATAGAGACTCAGACAGGATTTAATACAGAATGTTGTAATATTTTATACTGTGATACTTGGGGAAATATTTCTTGAGTAACCTGCAGTTACTGTGCAGGAAATAGCAGTTATGCTTCCAGCCACAAATGTGGAAAACAGCTTCTGTTCACTGCCTGAAGAGAGGGGGCTCTAGAAGGGTAGCCTGTTCTGTTTTAAAAACTATACCATGATAGCAATTCCTAGTTCCTAATCTCTGTTCTTCCTTAATAGTTTTTCTTTCTAATATATTTTTCTACCAGCCATCCAGTCTTGAGACAGTGAGTAACTTCCATAAAGAGAGAATTCAGATTTCCATTCTTTCATACTAAGAAGGACATCTTACAACAGATACACAGAGAATAAAGGCATTGTATACAGAAGTGGTATAAAATTTACAACAGAAGCAGTGCCAGAAATCAGATTAATAGCTCATCTAAAGCTGCAAATTAATTGGAAGGGACTTTGAGATCAGAAAAGTCTGGCTTAATGGTTCGTGCAAACTTTACCATAAAACTGTAGAATCTCAAGCACAGGTTAGTTCAAACACTGAAATACATGGAAAATTTCCTAAAAGGCAATGATGAAGGAAGAGACCTTTGTTGTCTCATAAGTTAAAAACCACAAGACAAATTAGAGTGTTCACATGGGCAGTATTGTACATTATCAATCTCAAACTGATCTTATGTTTCTTATCATAGCACCCCCCAAAACACCACAGAGAGTAAACTATTTCAAATAAACCAATCACAAAAGGGATTCCTGTCATTCAATTATCCAATTACCTATGGCTATTAATTTAGTTTGGCCTGCGGCTGCTTTTTACAGGGAGGTGGCCTCCCATGGCGCACAATGTGTTTTTCTAAGCTGTCCAGAATGGCTATAGCAATCTGCTGGACATGGGGATCAGTCTGTTCATGTTCTTTGATGTTGTATAAATGCTGCAGTCCTCCTTCCTCAATCAGCATACTGCAGTACCTTGAAGCTGAGATAAAACAGGAGAAAGATTTTCTTAAACACAAATTATCTCACAAAAAAATGAGTTCTTAAGCTTTCTGTACGTACATTTTATTGTTTTTTTGGTTTTTTTAATGGTACTGGGGATTGAACTCAGGGCCTCATGCATGCGAGGCAAACACTAAACCACTGAGCTATATCCCCAGCCCTGTACTTACATCTTAGACATTTTATTATTTTGATCACTGATAAGCTATAGGCTGATAGATACCAGATAATGATGTTGTGTCCAGAAACAAGGCCCATATGTAAATAATAAATAAATAAATACAATTTTTTATCCTAAACTCAAAACACAGACAACCTGGGAAAGAAAATAAAAAGGGCAAGAATCATAAGTATCTTTGTTAGGTATCTCACTCAAAATCAAAGGTAAAATAAGCACTGTTAGAATTTTACCATTTACTATCCCTTTTTAAAAAACCTAATGGTACTCATACTGCAATTTAATTTTGTTTATAATTTTTAAATATTTTCTGTGACTTTTTTGGTGTGTGGTGCTGAGAGTCAAACGAGGGGGCCCATACATGGAAAGTACATACTCTATTACCAGGCTATATCTCTATCTAGTTATCTATCTATCTATCTATCTACCTACCTACCTACCTACCTACCTATTCAGTAGAGCAGAGACAATTTTGTGTAGTTAAAAGGCTAGATTTTTGTCTTTCATTGTTTTTGTTTTTTACTGTGCTGCTGGGATCAAACCCGGAGCCTGAACTCTACAGGAGCTACATCCCAGGCCCATCCCATAAGTATCTTATATTTATGAATGAGCAACTCTGTTTTGGGTAATTTAGTAGGAAGGGTCAGGGAAGCCTCCAGGTGGCAACTGAGGTAGGCTCAAAGTAGTTTTCTTAGTCACATCCCATGCTCTCAACCCTTCTTCTCTGACACATAAGAGTTTTTATTGAGTTGCCTTTTTGTGATATACATCAAGTTTTCATCAAATAATGCAACAATAAATAATCTCAAAAATATCACTGTCACTGCTGTAAGTATATTGTTAAAAACAACTCTTAGCTGGGTGTGGTGGTGCAGCCCTTTACTACTGAGGCAGCTGAACAGTAAAGTACAGTTTGGTTAAGAGGGGGTGGAAACTGACCAAATAAAATGTCAAAAAAATCCTGCCTAAATTGGTGCAGGTGGCTTACGGCTATAATCCTACCTACTTAGGAGGCAGAGATCAGAAGGATCGCAGTTCAAAGCTAGCCTGGGCAAATAGTTTGGGAGACCGTATCTCAAAACAAAACTCTTCACAAAAATGGAGTGGGTGAAGGTGTAGGCCTTGATTGCAAGCCCAAATACTGCAAAAAATAAATAAATAAATAAAATAAAGAGACATCTGGTTGGGAATGTCCTTGAAACTTCCTTTTTTGTGGTTAACTCAGTAGTCACTACATCATGATAAAAGAGATGTTTGTGAAGAAGGGAAAGTTCCAGAACTAGCACATGCCCTGAGGGCTGGGATCTGTCCTCAGATGACTTTTTGAGACACCCCTCCCCAATTAAAGCTTCTTACTTAGGGAATGCATCTCACGTATTAATTATAACAGAATGTATTATGAGTGGAGACATGCAGCAGATAAATTAAGTTATATAACATTTGTCCTGCTAGTCCTAAGAGGATGCCCCTTTCAGCCCACCGTGAGCCACAGCTCTAGTCTTACATTACAACCCCACCAAAAGAGTCCGGGCCTGCGCTTTGCTCAGGTGCTCCTTCTGCCTGTGGGAGTGTATTCCACTTCCACAAATCTATACTTTGCTTGCTACTTTTGTGTGTTTTATGCAAATCTTTTTTTTTGGCAATACTTGGGTTTGAACTCTTTTCACTTGAGCCACTCTACCAGCCCTTTTTGGTGATGGGTGTTTTAGAGATAGGTCTCCAGAACTATTTCCCTGGGCTGGCTTTAAAATGTGATCCTCCTGATCTCTGCATCCTGAGTAGCTAGGACTACAGGATGGGCCATCAGCACTGGCCAAATGTTTTTCAATTTCCCAGGAACCTAGAAAACTCGTAATGGACAGGTGCTCAGACACGTCCCCCACTCCTATATCACCACCTCCCAGAATATATAGAAAGCTTTTTCCCCTTATATGGAAAACCATGGAGCCAATTATTTGTAGCCAGTCACAAAAAAAGTATATGAATTACTATGTAGGGCCTACAAGTCTACATTTTATTATCCTTCTATCTATCTATCTATCTATCTATCTATCTATCTATCTATCTATCTATCTATCTGTTTATACTGCAGTTTAAATTCAGGTCCTTGCCCTTGCTAGGTAGGCACTCTACCACTTGAGCCACAATCCCAGACATCTTTTAATTTTTTAAAAAGTTATTTGTACTGGCTTTTTTTCTTTATTTCTTTTCTTTTCTTTTTTTTAGAGACACAGTTTTGCTGTGTAGCCCAGGTTGGCCTTGAACTCTGAATCCTCCTGTGTCAGCATCCCTAGTGCTAGGATTATAGGCATCTGCCACCACACCCAAATGGATCCTGATTTTTTTTTTTAAAATATGAACTGCTTCACAAATTTGCATGTCATCCTTGCACAGGGGCCATGCTAATCTTTTCTGTATTGTTCCAATTTTAGTATATTTGCTGCTGAAGTGAGTACTGGATCCTGATTTTTAATTTAAAAATATTTTAAGGTGCTGGTGGCTCATGCCTGTAATCCTAGCTACTCAGAAGGCACAGATCAGGAGAATTGCGGTTGGAAGCCAGCCCCGAGCAAATAGTTCAAGAGACCCTATCTCGAAAAAAAAAAAAAAAAAAAATCGCAAAAAAACATGGGGCCAGAGGAGTGGCTAAGCTAGCAAGCATGAGGCCCTGAGTCTGTACCCCATTGCCACCAAAAAAAGAAAGAAATAAAGAAAGAAAAATAAAAAAGTTTTAAGGTATACTTTACCATTAAACTGGTTCTCTATGTTAGGTCAAATCATTTGTAGAATGAGTTTATATTAACAAATATCTGACTAACAACTATATTATGACTTTGAAAAACAATGATATGGAACCTAATCTAAATACTTTGCTTGGGGCTAGGGATGTAGCTCAGTACTATAGTTTTTGCCTAGCATGAGTAAGAACCTGGGTTCAATTTTCAGCAGCAGCCCCATCCCCCACAAAAAAAGGAAAATAAAATATGTATGATATAACATATATATCTTCTGTTCAACACTGCCATTTAACCTGGTGTGGTGACGCACACCTGTATCTCAGCTACTTAGGAGGCTGAAGCAGAAGGATCACTTGAGCCCAGGAGTTCAAAGACAGTGATCCTAGGCAATTTAGTGAGATTCCAGCTTGCTGGACAGATGCTCCATTACTTGAGCCATTCCGCCAGCCCGAGACTCCATTTCTTAAAACAAAGAAAAATAAAAATGAATGCTTTGCTTCTCCAGACATTAAGAGTGCTAACAGCAGTTCTTCACAGAATACTGGGTAAATGAGGATTGAGCACTAGAACATATCATAAATAATGGCTGTAAATCTACTTAAGAACTTTTACTTAACAAATTGAAATTTACTATAGGATCTTAATTTTTAAATTCCAGGAGGTTAGAATAGTATTTCATTCACCATTGTCATTTAGTATGGCAAAGAATACATTTAGTTCATAACTAAAATTCTCTTACATTGAATTTTTAAAAATCAGTGTCTTGGGTTGGGGACATGGCTCAAGTAAAGAGAACCTGCTTAGCAACTGCGAGTGTCTGCGTTCAAACTCCAGTTCCACCAAAAAAAAAAAAAAAAAAAAAAAAGTAAAAAAAATCAGTGTCTTTAAATGTCATTGAAATACACAAATTAAAAATGGCTTTTTGGTCTGAAGATATACTTAGTGGTAGAGCACTTGCTAGTTAACACGTGGCACACCTTGGGCTCAATCTCCAACACTGAAAAGAAATGGCTTTCCTGTGAAAGGAGAATTTCACTTGAACAAGAATAGCACAATTTTGTTTCCTGGTACATACGATTCTTGCTGCAGACGTGTTGCATGGCCCACACTGCCCATAGCTGAACTCCAGGTGTTGTGAAACAGCCAAGTAACGGGAAAAATGGATTAAAGGATCTAAAAGTTAAAAGAAAAAAACAAAGTTACATTCTATACATAGTGTCAATTTCTAAGCAGTGATTCCTAAAAATTTTGATTTACAAATTATTTTCTATTTCTAGATTAAATGAGCAATAGAACATCTTTTCTTTGTTGTGGCCATTTTGGGAAAGATTGCATTCAGTCATGTCATTGGTACAGAAAGGTGGTTAGAATAGAGTACTAAAAGAGAAAAAAAGGTCTTTCAAAAGAACTTTTTTGGTCTTAAAGATATACATTTTTAAATCATTTTCTCTCCCTTTTGTTTTTTGAGAAATGGTCTCACTATGTAGCCTAGGCTGGTCTCCTGATCCTCCTGCCTCAGCCTCTTGAGTGCTGGGATTATAGCTGGGTGCCATGCCCAGCCTTAAGATACACATTCTAAAGACCTTGATTTGGTAATAAGAAATGGAGAAATCAGGTGATAATTAGTAGAATACCATGAACTAGAACAGAATTAGTTGTTTTTATTTCTACTGGTCTATACAAAAATGGGTAACACATAAGTTGGGGAAGTAAAAAATGCTAACAGCACAGCATTTATGAAGCAGCCAACAAAAATAAGTTGCAATAAAATTAATTATGCAATTAAAATATTTCAGGTAATTAATAAGATGCCTAGCATGCACCTAACTGACATAAACAGGATTAAGCATCCAATACGCACTTAAGATGTTTACCATTTTCTAGTATAGACTTAATCGTTAATTTTCTAACGTTCTATGCATATCTAGCATATTGGTGCACGCTGATATCCCTCACTAGACTATAACATTCTTGTCGAGAATCACATCTTGGTCATTTTTAACTTTCAAAAGCATAGAACATATCCATGGGACTTATCTTCATTAAATGTGAACTAAGGGCTGGAGGCTTGGCTCAAGTGGTAGAGCACCTGCCTAGCAAGCATGAGGCCCTGAATTCAAACTCCAGTAATATCACAATAAATAAGCAAATAATCTATCAATTAATCAATTTAAAAAAAAGTGAACTAAAGGATGGAATGGCGAATGATAGGCAGTAGAAAAAAAATCAAAATACTTCTTCTATTTATTTATTGGTACTGAGGTTTTAACTCAGGGCCTACACCTTGAGCCACTCCACCAGTCCTTTTTTGTGATGTGTTTTTTGAAGACAGGGTCTTAGGAACTATCTGCTGGGGATTGGCTTCGAACTGTGATCTCTCCCTCCTGAGTAGCTAGTATTACAGGTGTGAACCGTTGGCACTCAGGTATTTTTTAATTTGAGTTTTTTTTCTTTTTTTAAATTTGGTGGTAACTACAGTTTGAACTTGGCCTCATGCTTGCTAGGCTGGCGCTCTACCACTTGAGTCATTCCATCTGTGGATTTTTCTTTGTGGTACCAGTCCCAGAATTTTAAATGCTTTAATGCATTAAAATATATTTCCAAGCTGGGTGCTGGTGGCTCATGCCTGTAATCCTAGCTACTCAGGAGGCAGAGCTCAGGAGGATCACGGTTTGAAGCCAGCCAGGGCAAATAGTTCATGAGACCCTATCTCGAAAAAACCCATCACAAAAAAAGGGCTGGTGGAGTTGCTCAAGGTGTATACCCTGAGTTCAAGTCCCAGTCTGCAATATATATACATTTTGTGTGTGTGTGTGTTGTGTGTGTGTGTGTGTGTGTGTGTGTGTGTGTGTGGTGGGTTTTTTCGAGATAGGGTCTTGCAAACTATTTGTCTGGGCTGGCTTCAAACCACGATTCTCCTGTTCTCTGCCTACTGAGTAGCTAGGATTATAGGCAAGAACCACAGGCACCTGGCCACTCTTTGCTTTTTTTTTTTTTTCTTTAAAGCCAGGACTAACAGATACTTTAGGGTAAGATTTATACATCTTAATAGGAGTGACCTTGAGGTAAGAAAAATGACCAAGTTATTGGCTTATTATATATTGTGCTGATTACCTGTATGCTACCATCTCACATTCTGGAGTTGGCCATTTCAATATAGCTGAATGCTAGAAGATATAAGAAACACAGAAATGATTATGGTATTCATTTAACATCACATTATTACATTATGATTTAGCCATTAAGAATGTTACTTCTGTTTATTCTCAATCTTCCAAGGAAACACCAAATGACCCTACCAAATCATCGAGAAGAGAATTCCTCTGGCTACGGCTCAGAGTCCAAGCTTGTTCACCTCTGGATATTAAATGGGCAATAATTCCAGCAGCAAAATAACTGACTTCCACTTCAACACTATGTAAGAGATTGTTCTGGAAAACAAAAAAAGAAGGTACAAAAGTTAAAGTAATTCATACAGTAAATGGCTGAGAGAACCATTTTCAGACATTGGACAAGAAGTAATGCCAGAAGGCAATCATTGAGAAGAAGTATTCAAATGGGGCAGTTTCCAGATTGCAGTGTAGAGAAGGGAAACCCAGAGAGAGCCTGGCAGTTTTGTTGAGCTGAGGAGGTAGAAATTATACTTTAGGGTGGCCAAGCTACAAAATTATGTACAATAAAGTAAAAATAAAGTAAAAAATAAATAAGGCCCCGGAAAGAGAGGGACACAGAGGAAGAGAAAGAGAGAAAGAGAGAGACAGACAGACAGACAGACAGACACACACACACACACACACACACACACACACACAATGATAGATGGAGGTGATACACCTCTCATGTCTTTGGCTGAGCAATGATATGATATAGGGTGAAACTTCATGAAGCTAAAAAGAACTTCCAGAAAGCAATACACAAACAAATTCCAAAGTAACAAAGGCCTAGGAATAGTTCATAGTCCTATTAGCCAGAGTGAGGACAGACAGACAGACACACCACACACACACACCACACACACACACACACAATGATAGATGGAGGTGATACACCTCTCATGTCTTTGGCTGAGCAATGATATGATATAGGGTGAAACTTCATGAAGCTAAAAAGAACTTCCAGAAAGCAATACACAAACAAATTCCAAAGTAACAAAGGCCTAGGAATAGTTCATAGTCCTATTAGCCAGAGTGAGGAGATGGCAAAATTAGCAAAGGATTTGATAGTAGTGGAGTTACATTATGTATTAGCCCTAGGGTAAAGGCTGATCTGAAGCCACTTAACAAAACAACAAAACAAATATACAAGCTTCAAAAGAAGTAAGTCAGGGCTCAGTGGTAGAACACATGACATATAAGACCCTAGGTTCCATCTCCAACACCACAGGAGAAAGAAAAAAAAACAAAAAGCAATTTGATGTGCAAGTAATTTAACTGTATGACAGTATGAAGTACAAGACTCTTGGCCTTGTGGCATGGCTCAAGTGGTAGAGTACCTGTCTAGTAAGTGCAAGGCCCTGAATTAAAACATGAGCACCAGCCAAAAAAAAAAAGACAGGACTCTTTAGAAGAAAACAGTAAAATTTCACAATGAGTAGCATCCATAAAAAAAAAAAAATTAAAAGATATCAGATAGACAAAGGGGTAGAAAATATATTCCATAACCAGGAGAAAAATCATAAGAATGGACCCAGAAATGACAGAAATAATAGAATTAGCAGACAAAGATTTAAAACAGCTATTGTAAGTATTATAAATATGATTCAGATATCATTTCTCTGTTTGAAATTCAGTTTTGTCCTTGAATCCCAATTGGGTGGTTTTTGACCTCTGTACTTGAAATTCTCTAGGCTTTTGTTCTTCTGTCCTCTTGTTAATTTTCACTATATTCCTCATAGCTTCCCATCAAGCCACAGGGCATTTGATGGTAGTCCACATGTACCTTGTGGATTACAATTTATTAGATTCTGGTTTTGCCCAAATACTTAGCATGCTTTAGTAATAACTAAAACCTTCCATGATTTGGATAGGAACAGGTATTTTTCCCAAGCTGATTAACAGAATATGGCAGCTGCCCTTTTGGAAGGAACAGTTAAAACCTAGATGTGGATTATGGAATAGCCTAAAGTTGAAATGATCAAGGAAAAAAGGTTTAAATCTAGAGTGAGAGGGAAGATCAACAAGAACATCACAAACTTAATTTTTTAAAGAAAAAACATGGCATTTTCTTTTTTTTTTAATTATTATTTTATTGTTTTTACATTTATTCATATGTGTATACATTGTTTGGGTCACCTCTCCTTCCACATGATGTTTTCAATAAATGGAACTAATGTTTCTTCTGGTCCCATATTCTTTGGTTTAAATGTACTTATATGGCTAGCCTAGGAAATGTTATCATTTTTACTATTTTTTATAGGGAAAACATTTTCTAATGTATGTATCAAACAACTCAATGGACTTTTAAATTACAACTCATTTTCTATGTTAGAGTACATTGTGTAGTGGTTTCTCAGCAGTTTTACATAAAATTTTTCAAGTAAAATGAGTTAATGTATAAAGTACTGCTTAATGCTATATAATAAAGATATTAGTACTTAAAATAAATAAATATAATTAATAAAATAATTATACTTTATAGTTAATTTATAATAAATCACAAAATAAATATGATTCAAGATAAAATGAAAACTTAAACATGAGAAAAAAATAAACAAAAGATGTAAGACCTAAATGAAGTTTCTAGAAATAAAAAACATGTCTGAAATGCAAAATCTGTAGGGGATAGGGATATAGCTCAGTGGTAGAGGGCTTGCCTGGCATGTAGAAGTCTCTGAGTTTGATTCCTAGCACCACAAACACACACACACTCATGAGAGTAATAGCAGATAAGACACTGCAGAAAAAATAGTGAACATGGAAAATATGGAAAACATTTAAACCCTGCCAGGTGTCAGTGGCTCACACCTGTAATCCTAGCTACTCAGGAAGCAGAGATCAGAAGGATAGCAGTTCAAAGCCAAACCAGGCAAAAAGTTCACGAGATCCTATCTCAAAAAAAATCCATCACAAAAAAGGACTGATGGAGTGGCTCAAGATGCAGGCCCTGAGTTCAAACTCCAGTACTGCCAAAAAAAAAGAGAAAGGAACGAGAAAGGAGAGGGGAGAGGGGAGAGGAGAGGAGAGGAGAGGAAAAGAGAGGAAAGAAAAGAAAAAAAAAGACTAGGGGAAAGCCAACAGAGGACTTCTGTGAGCTGTGGGACATTATCAAACTGTTTAACATACTTATAATTGAGTTCTAGAAAAAGAATAGATGAGGAAGGGTATGGAAAAAATATTTGAAGAAATAATGATCAAAATTTTCCAAATTTGATGAAAATTATAAACCCAAAGATTCGACAGAAAAAAAATGGACACTTAAGACTTTAATAGCCAATGACAACTGTATCAAAAATGAGAGCATACTAGGCATCATGGTACACATCTGTAATCTCAACACAGAAGGCTGAAGCACGAGGGTCATGAGTAACACAGTGAGACCCTACCTCAAAAAAAGGAGCAAAATAAAGGAGTCTTTCACCCAAACAAAACCTGAATGAAATTCATGGCCAGGATACCTACAGGATAAGAAATGTAGAAAGACAGAGAGAGAAAAAGAAAAGGGGGTGGGGTTGGTAATAAGAAATATCAAAGGCAAGTTTTTCATTTTTAAATTTATTTAATGGAAGATTATTGAGGATTCCTACTTTTACCTAAGCAGGAGTACAAGCAGCCAGACTTAAACTTCTACCTGGGAGCTACTAGCTTCCAGGCTCCGCTACTCTTCTCTAGCTGTAGCCTTTCCTTTCTCGCTAATAAATCTTACTTTATATTAAAAAAAACCTACCTGAAACAAGTAGTTTTAAAAAACAACAACAAACATGGAACAACGTTTTTCAAGATACTGAACCTTAGACAGTAAAGGACGGTGACTCTTAAAAATGAAAAACAAAGTTAGATATCATCTTGAAATACTTTTCTAGGCTGTGGCATGGGGATAAAGAGCTGAAAGAAAGCTCAGGGACTCATGGAGTAGAGGGCATGAAACCAAGAGTCTACATAGGACAGAACACCAGGGAAAAGGGAACTGCACAGAGATCTGCAGAGGACCTCACTATGCAATAGAGTACTGAACAGACTATCAGAGGACAGGAGAAAATCACCAAAAAAGATTAAGGTAAAGCAGGAAAATCTCTTGAACATAGGAGCTCAAAATCAAGCTGGTGTTGGGTGCTGGTGGCTCACACCTATAATCCTAGCTACCCAGGAGGCAGAGATCAGAAGGATCGGAGTTCAAAGCCAGCCGGGCAAACAGTTTGTAAGCCCTTATCTCGGAAAAACCCATCACAAAAATAGGGTTGGTGGAGCGGATCAAGGTGTAGGGCCTGAGTTTAAACCTCAGTATCGCAAACAAACAAAAACCAAAAAAACCCAACCAGTGCACCACAGGAAGATACTTTCTCAGAAAAAGAAAATTGGGAAGGGGGTTGGCAGAGTGACTCAAGTTGTAGAAAGTGGTAGAGCACCTGCTTAGCAAGCCTGAGACCGAGTTCAAACTCCAGTACCCCCCTCCCCCACTCACGATTAAAGTAGCCAGGGCTCACACCAGTTCAGAAACAGTACTCATTGTCTGTTTGTTTGTTTTGTCTTGCTTTGTAGCCCATGCTAGTCTTAAACCTGCTGTCCTCATGCCTCAGTCTCCCAAGTGCTGGGATTACAGGCATGCACCACCATGCCCAAATCCAAAAAGCATTTTTAAAGCTCTATGAGATCTTTCCAAATTCTTAAAATAAATTCCTCTTTTTCTCTTAAGGTTAACTAAACCAACTTCTGTAACCTAATAGTCTTAGAAGCTCCAACTAAAACAATCAAATACTGTAATTTATGTAATGATTCTGTTATCACTGGACATTTAAATTGATTTCCATTTTCTACTTTACACAACAACTACTCGATATCTCATGCTCTTGCATGTGGAAACAAATACCAATATACATTTTTTAACTCACAAATCTGTGCCTCCTGTGATTCATTCCTGAGAGCACAGGTCTACTTTAAAGTGGCTTTACTACATAGACACTATGACTATAGCAGTGATGTGAGTTGACAAAACATCTGATCGTCTTTGCCTCTAAAGCTTAAAGGCTCACCTTGCCTATGTCTAGTATATTAAGGAATATCTAATTTGTTAAGAAGCCCTTTTAGTAGTGATCATTAGCTATCAAACACTTAACCAAGCATCAAAGAACACTTACAGGTTAATGGAATCTTTTTTGGCAGGAGTGGGGTTTCAAGGGATAGAGCAGTTGCTCTACCACTTGAGCCATACCTCAGTTCAATGACAATTTTTTTTTTTTTTCCAGTATGGGGCTTGAACTCAGGGCCTACACCTTGAGCCACTCCACCAGCCATTTTTTTTTTTTTTGAAGAGTATTTTCAAAATAGGGTCTCAAGAACTATTTGCCTAGGCTGGTTTCAAACCAAAATTCTCCTGATCGCTGCCTCCTGAGTATCTAGGATTACAGTGAGCCACTGACACCCGGCTTCAATGACATTTTTTGATAAGATTTTGTTTTTTGGGGGGGAGCAGTACTAGGGTTTGAACTTGAGCCACTCTGCCAGCTCAAGATTTTTTTTCTGATTATAAAAGTTAAAACATGTTTAGTTTAAAACTTTGTACAATGCCAAAAAATATAAAGGAAAGTATGTATATTTATGTTTTTCCTTTTAAAGTGACAAAAGTCTGAATATGTAGTTTTGCTGCTTGTATACGTGTGTGTGTCTGTATGTTTAGAAAAGGTAAGAAATTATCAGGTGCCAGTGGGCTCACAACTGTAATTCTAGCTACTTGGGAGGCTGAGATTGGGAGGATGAAAGTTTGAGGCTAGTCCTGGGCAAATAACTAGAACAAAATGGACTGAAGGTGTGGTTCAAGTGGTAAAGTGCCTGTTTTACCAGCACAAAACCCTGAGTTCAAACTCCAGTAATACCAAAAAAAGGGAAAAAAGATAAGATCTCACTATGTTTGTCAGGTGGACTCTAAATTCCTCAGGTCAAGTGATCCTCCTGTTTTCGCTTCCTGAGTAGGTAGAACTATAGGCATGTACCACCAGGCCTGGCCTTTATGTATTTAACAATTACATTGTACACATCTCCCTATATCATTAAGTGTTCACAAATAGCACAGCAGCAACTTTCAATGTATTCCCTCAGACAGAAAATAATTACAGCTTGGATTTAACAGGAAATGTTTGTATCTTACCAAAAGTCCTAGAACTTTCTGTTGAATGGATGACTCAGTTGGGAAAGACTGTAAAAAACAAAGAGAAAACTATAACTACCACCAAAATCAAATATAATAAATAAATGTTTAAGTAAGTAAAGCGATAAATGTCAAAACTATAAACTAAATTCCCATTCTAACCTCTAGAACCCTCATGAAGAGTTCTAACCCTTGGTTTTCAATAAAGTGTCGGCAAGTAGTTGGGGATTCATCTGTGAGGTTCCAAAGTGCACTCAATGTAAACTTCAATGTAGTGTCCACTGAATTTTGATTGGTTTTCTGCTTCACTATTTGAAGAAGTTGCTAAAAGGAAGAAAACAGAATTAATTTTTCATTTTTGAATTATTACAGTTTGAGATTATTAGTAACTACAAATCCATGAGGATTAGACTCAAAGCTTAAGCATTCCCTATAAAGGTATCTCAGGCTGGTCTTGAGCTCCCAATCTTCCTGCCTCAGTCTCCAGAGTGCTGGCATTACAGACAGGCACCATCTTGCCCAACTTAAAGAGTCTTTTAAATACAAAGAACAGGACCCTTTGCTCTGATTTCCTGCGTGGGGAGCAGGAAATGCTTTTCTCTAGTCCCCTCTGCCCCATTCCTCTCCTAATAAACTTCACTGTTACTTTTAAAAAAATAAATAAATATAAAGAACAATCTGTTGGATCATACATTTCCTTCAATAAGAAAAAAAAAGAGTATTTTTATAAATGCTTTTATATTTTCCTGAGCATGCCTACAACCTAACCACCTGTAAATAATACTTGAAGGCAAGTAATTGAAGCTTTGAACCAACTGTCTTTTCTTTTTTTGTTCTTGGTGGGAGTGGAGTTTGAACTCAGGGCTTCATGCTTGCAAAGCAGGCTCTCTACCAGTTGCATCACACGTGCAACTTATTTTGCTCTGATTAGAGATGGGGTCTTGTGAACTATTCCATGGGCTGTCCTCGAACTTCGATCCTCCTGATCTCAGCCTCCCATGCCTGATCTCGTGCCTGATCTCAGGCATGAGCTGCTGGCACATTCAGCCTCTCTCTCTCTGTCTCTCCCTCTCTCTTCCTCTTGCTCTTTTCCTCCCTCCCTTCCTTTTTCCCTCTTCTATCTGTCCAGCTGTCTATCTATCTATTCATCCATTCATCTATCCATTTTTGGTGGTACTGGAAATAAAGCCAGGGCCTCTACCACTTGATCTGTGCCCCAAATCCTGAACCAAGTATCTTAATTAGTCATAGCATATTCTTATTTCAGAATAAAAGGGGTGGAGGGAGAGAAGGGAAAATGAAACTAACATTTAATAAGCATCAGTAAATTATATCCTATATAGTAGTACTACTATACTCACTTTTTCAGGGAAGAAAACTGAGTCTGAGAAATATTAAGCAATTTTATCATTGTCAACTTAGTAAAATAAAGTAAGAATTGGAAATCCTAGTTGTAACTAATTCTAAATTTTCCTTAAGAAAATTTCTTTAAGAGAATTAGTCTACATTGGATATAAAGGTTTGAAATTCCAGTTGTAAACTATTTGTCATAGTTTTACCCTAAGTAATTTAAGTTTGAAAGGTAAATGGTTTATATACTACACAAGACATCTATATATAATTCAGTCTCTTAAAAATTTAGTATTTTTGTTCATTTTTTTATTTATTTATTTATTTATTTATTTATTTTTACAGTGCTAAGGATTGAACCCAGAGCCTCATTAATGCTGGGCAAGTACTCTACCACTTAGCTACACCCCCAGTCCCTATAATTCCATTTTTAGATTACATTTTTAAAGGTAAGGGGGATCAGTGCTACAACATGTACAACACATTTTCTTAAGAATACTATTATTAAAGGTTATACATAATTTAGGGAAAAAATTTTAAAAGCACAAACATCTATGTACAATTACTTAACTTAATAGCACAGTGGTTAAGAGTGGAAAAGATATAAATAAAAAATTCTTGCTGGGTTCTGGTGGCTCATGCCTATAATCCTAGCTACTCAGGAGGCAGAGATCAGGATGACAGAGGTTCAAAGCCAGCATAGACAAATAGTTTTTGAGACCCATCTCAAAAATACCCATCATAAAAAAGGGATGGTGGAGTGGTGAGAGACCCTCCCTAGCAAGTATAAGGCCCTAAAAAATAAAAGTGTGGCTCTAGAATCAAGTCACCTGAGCTGAAATCGAATTTCTGCATCTGACTAACTGCATAACACTGCTTATCAATTTAACTATTTGTTTTCTCATCTATAATGTGGGGGACAATTAAGAGCTTAAAAAAAAACTCAGTTTGGGGGTGTAACTCAGGGGAAGAGCATTGCTTAGCAAGCTCCAGGCCCGGGTTCAATCCTGATCACTAAAAATTCAAAACAAACCTTAGCAATCATGATTAGTACTACTACTACTATTAATTACTGCTGAAACTAAATTTCACTCTCCCTCTATGAAGAATGAGTAGACTACTTCCTTAAAATCTTTGAACATACTTTCAGACAAAACTACTGAGACATGTATACACTTTCCTGTTCCTTCCCCCTACTCCCCATACCCCCCCCACCACCCCTACCCCCGACAGCCTTGGGAGGCTGAGGCAGGAATTTTACAACTTTGAAACCAGACTGGGTAACATAGTAAGACCCTGTGTAAGAAAACAAAAAAACAAAAGAAAAGAAAAGAAAAGGAAGAAGTGGTACAAATGGGCAATAAATACATGAAAAAAATGCTGTACCTCCTTGGCCATAAAGGAAATACAGATCAAAAGGACACTGACATTTTTACCCCACTCTAATCAGAATGTCCATGATCAACAACACAAACAAGAACAAATGCCAGTGAGGCAGAGGGGGTACCCTTATCCACTGTTGGTGGAAAGCTGCATACTCTGTATAAGTGTGTGAAAACTGAATAAAGAAATCTTTTGAAATTGTTCTAAGGAGGATAAGGGAGGATGAAAGAGAAGGATGGAGTGGTGAATCTAATCAAGATACACTGTAACCACCCATATAAATGTCACAATGAAACTCCCCTGCACAACTAATATATGTTAATAAAAAATGAAAAAAAACAAAACAAAAAAACAACAAAAAGACATTTTAAAAACTAACGTCATCCCTGAAAGTAGTAAAAGTAAATAAAAAAGCATCCTTTCTTAGCAAAGATAAATTATATTTTGTTTAGGTGCTTAACATAGATTCCTACAATTAATCTTTTTTGGTTTTTCTGGCAGTACTGGAGGTTGAATTCAGGGCCTTGCACTTGCTAGGCAAGCACTCCACCACTTGAGTCACACCTCCAGCCCTTTCAGCATTACTATTTTTTAGATAAGGGTTCATTTTTGCCTGGGGCTAGCCTCGGACAGCAATCCTACTACTTATAGGCTTGTACCATCATGCCTCCCTTGTTAAAATAGGATCTCATGCTAGGCTCTGGTGGCTCACATCTGTAATCCTAGCTACTCAGGAGGCAGAGATTAGGAGGATGGTGGTTTGAAGCCAGCCCAGGCAAACAGTTTGTGAGACCCTATCTTGAAAAATCCTTCACAAAAATAGGGCTGGTGGAATGGCTCAAGGTGAAGGCCCTGAGTTCAAGCCCCACCACCACAAAAAAGCAAAAAAGCAAAAAAAAGGATAGGATCTCACAAACTTTTTTGCCAAGGCTGGCCTCAATCTAAGATCATCCTATCTCCACCTCTCAAGTACTTGGAATTTTAAACACGAGCCACTACAACTAGCTTTTTATACTTTTCACTGTTTACTATTATTTCCTTAACTGATTATAAGCAAGAAAAATCATATATCAGGTGTTTAAATTATCTGCTTCCCCAAAGCATCTACCACAATACTTATATTAGGCTCTATATTGTCTTTTTTTTCTTTATTCATTTATTCATATGTGCATATATTGTTTGAGCCATTTCTCTCCCCTGCCCCCCACCATTTTTTTTTTTACAGTACTAGGGGGCTTGAATTCAGGGCCTACACCTTGAGCTACTTTTTTGTGATGGGTTTTTTCAAGATAGGGGCTTGAAAACTATTTGCCTGGGCTGGCTTTGAACTGTGATCCTACTGATCTCTGCCTCCTGAGTAGCAGCTAGGATTACAAGTGTGAGTCATTGGCGCTGGGCTATATTTTCCTTATAAATAACAAAATTCACAGAATTTTAGAACTAAATAGGATCCTTGTATTTTTCCCCCTGATGCTGAGAATTGAACTCAGGGCCTTGTGTATGCTAGGAGAGCTCTCTACCACTGAGCTAAACCCCCAGCCTCTAGATAAGATTGTCAGGGGAGCAAACATGAGGGGGTATAAACAGCAGAAATGGCTCTGGGAATAAATGGCAGAAATGACCCTGGAAATGTAAAGGAAACAGATGGCAAAAGTAATTTTGTCTTAAAGGAGACAGGAATGCATCCCTAAAAGCAAGTATCAAAGGAGACATGAGGAACAGACTTCTCACTCAGATAATAAAATATAATAGTCTTTCTCCTAGATAAGGAGACAAGGAAGCATCTTTAAAGACAAGTATCTAAAGAGATGAAAAAAAAAAAAAAAGAGAACCCTTAAAAAAAACAACACAGAAAACTTTCCCAAAATAGCAAAAGCTGGGGGGGGGGGGTCTCTCCAAAATAACAAGCGGTAGTCATAAAATGTGTATAACAGGTCTCAAGGACAGGATGGACTAACAAGACCCTACTGAATGTCCAGTCCGATAAGGATGGGGGCGGAAGCCAGATGGTTGGGTTCAGCAAGAAGTTAATTAGACAGATAATTATAGATGCAGCTTCAAAGCAGAGTAGGGGGTGCCTAAGTTAAGCTCTATATTACCCCTTAGATTTCAGCTATTCTTTAGCTTAGCTCTTTCGCTAAGTCCTACCAGTTCAGGTGCTTTGCTATCCTTTCAATAATCTATCCTGGTCTGGCATCTTCAATCATCAACCATTCTAGGACATGAACTTGGGAACAACACTCCAGTATCAAGATTTTAATGCTCATGCAGGACTCAATTGTTGAAGTAATTTGCCTAATTTATAAAGTAAGTTTATAAGTTAGAACCTAGGTTATCTAACTCCTAGTTTGAGGGCTGTTTTCATCTGTTAAGGAGTAAAAGCTGCCTCTATGAAAAGACATGAAAACAACATTTAGAAAAAACAAAATAATTTTTTTGAAAATAGGGGAGGAGGAAAAGAAGAAGAAAGTGATAGAGAATGAGTTATATTGAAATACACAGCATCTGTATAGGAACAAGATACAATGAAATGCACTGAAAACTGGGGGCTAGACTGATTAAAGTATAATATATTCACAGGTAAAATACTAAGGAAAGCTGGCCGCCAGTGGCTCACACCTGTAATACTAGCTACTCAGGAGGCAGAGGTCAGGAGGATTGCCATTTGAAGTCAACCTGGGCAAATAGTTCTCAAGACCCTATCTTGAAAAAAACTATCACAAAGAAAGGCTGGTGGAGTGGCTCAAGGTGCAGAGTTCAAACCCCAATACTGCTAAAATAAAAAAAATAAACCAAGGTAAAATCCCACTGAACAATGAACAGACATTTAAACGATGAAGGACAGGAATATCAAACAGGTCATGTTAAGCGGAAGATACTAGTGGGAGGCGGAGGGTAAATAAAGATGGTAAAGGAGGGTGAAAATGGCTGATGTATTTTCTATATGTGTATGAATAGAAAGTAATCAAGTAATTTGCCTAATTTACAAACACTGAAATTTGTTGAAGTAATTTTAAGAAAGAGGAGGGGGAAGAGGGAGAATAATGGAGGCGATAAGCCAAACCAGGGTACATTGTATGCATATATGGAACCATTACAAGGAAACTCCCTGTACGACTATTATACACTAATAACAATGTTCAAAAAAAATAAAACCAGTGGGACTGTAGAAACTCGTAAAATAACCAAGCTGGGCATCAGTGGCTCTCACTTGTAATCCTAGCTCCTCAGGAGGATCTAGCCTTGGTAAATAGTTTGTGAGACCCTATCTTGAAAATATCCGACACAAAAAAGGGCTGGTGGAGTGGCTCAAGTGGTAGAGCACCTGCCTAGCAAGCGCAAAGCCCTGAGTTCAAACCCCAGTACTACAAAAAAAAAAAAAAAAAAAAAGTCCAAAGATACACAACATGGCCTAACAGCAATAAAAATGGATACTTTCTAGTAGCCTGCAGAGAGGAGATAATGAACTTACCCTGACAATGAACAGCTCAGCACCAAGCTGCGCAGTTTGTTCTGTAGAAAGCTGGAAATAAGCAGAAGACAAAGTAAATGTCCAGGAACTAAACTAGTGTGAATTTACTATAATTCATTGTAACAGACTCCAAGGCCAGACTAAAATATCTGATTAACCTGGAATTCGGCAATATTTAATGCAGCTTGAAGAAACAGACTGGCTGAGAGGCTTAATAACCTTTCTGGAACACAGATTGAGGGGAAAATAGTAATTATGAAAACAACTGCCTATGGAATATTATTTGGCAAGGGTCAGGTACCTTGGCAGCCAGGATGGAAATGATGGCAACTGCCATTCTTTGCATGTTTTGATCCTCATAGTTGCAGAGCCACTGCATGACAAGCTTGGCTGCTTCAAACCTGAAAACACACAGAAAGTTTCCTGAGTTAATCCTGGAGGTCCAGGAACCGTTTCTGACTTCCACCTCGGAGCTGATGCTACAATTTAAGTGGATGAGAAGGAAGGGGAACATTCCTCTTAACTAATAGAGAATGACAACTGCACTTAGTGTTTTAGAGATGATGCCTTATTACTTCTGACAACACTAGGTAAAGAAACGAGTTTGGAAATTATGGTTAAAACTAGCATTTTATCTTCTACAATGATAACATATTTCAATATTTCTATACTGCCATTGTAACTTAAGCATATTCTGGCTTCCTCATAGCATGGAGCACAATGGGAATACTCATTCACAAACAGATACTTTTTTTTTTTTGGTGTCACAGGAGTTTGAACTCAAGGCCTCACACTTGTTAGGAAGGCACTCTTACCACTTGAGTTACTCTGCCAGCCTTTTTTTTTTTTTTTTTTTTTGATGGGTTTTTTCGAGACAGGGTGACAAGAACTATTAGCCTGGGGCTGGCTTTGAACCATGATTCTCCTGATCTCTGCCTCCTGAGTAACTAGAATACAGGTGTGAGCCACTGGCGCCAGATCACAGATACATCAAGCCAAATACTGTTTCTAGTGGTAGAGACATTTACACTTTAGGGCAGAAGAATAATAAATTAAATAAACAAGTAAAGTATATTGTATGGTATTTGCTCTAGAGAAATATGCTATACAGAAAAATTAAATAGAGAAAGAGTGGATATGAAATGTTGAAATTTTATTTAGGGTGGCTAGCACCATTGAACCTTTTGAGGAAATTAGAGAGCCATATGAATATCCCAGGGCAAAACATTCTAGGCAAAGAGGATGGGAAAAACAGCAGCCCTGAAATGGAGGTATGCCTGGAGTTTCTGAGAAATAGTTTGAAGCCAGTGAGACCAAAGTAGAGACAACAAGGGGAAGATTCTAAGAGATGAAGTCAGAGGTAGGTAACAGGCATCTGGATCATAGTCTTAGTGAAGAATTAAGAATTCACTACTCTGAATGAGATGGACAGATATGGAAGGCTTCTGAATAGATGTATGACATGAACTTGTCTTTAACAAGATAACTTTACCAGCTGTGTTTGGAATAAACTTCAGAAGAGGAAAGACAGAAACAGGAGAGCAGTTCTGAGGCTATTACAATACTTTAGGAGACAAATCACTTTAGTCTAGTTAGAAAGGTACCCATGGAAGTGAAGAGAAATGGTAATTCTGAATACAGCTAGATTTGCCAAAGCATTGAATATGGGAGAGAAATCAAGATGACATCTTGAGCTTGTGTGGTTCAAGTGGTAGAGCACCTGCCTAGCAAGCATAAAACTCAGAGTTCAAACCCTCATACCACAGAAAAAAAAAAAAAAGGACATTATCTTATCTCATCCATAGTCTCATCCTTAAGGACTCAGCTCAAATACTGATTCCTTTAATGGGTTTATCATAGCCTTCTCAGCTCCTCACTGCTTTGTTTATAACTGTTGGAGATCTGCAATCACCTGGAGACTTGTCTCAATCTCTCTCCCCCATGGGCCTGTGAAGTCCTTGAGGGAAAGGATCAGATCCTGTTTAGCTCTTTGTGCCAAGCACTCAGTACAAGTTATTGACACATAAACAGTACTTAATAGCACCAACAGTTGGCTGATTAGTTATATTGAGGTATATTACTGTTCTGCATCTTCCCTCTCCTTTCTATTGCCAAGGTCATCTCTGACCAGGCCAGTTACTGGCGTGTGTGTGTGTGATTACTGGCGTGTGTGTGTGTGTGTGTGTGTGTGTGTGTGTGTTTTACTGGGGATTGAACCCAGGGCCTCAGAGATGTTAGGAAAGTGTTCTATCACTGAACTACATTTCCAGCCCAGCATAATTCCACAGTAGATTCCCAACAGGCTTCTTTGTTTCCAATGCTTCCCTTCAATTTGTGCCTGTGCTTTAGTAATAAATAAGCCTGTCAGAGGGCTTAGGCATGATGTCATTTCTGTACTTCCAGCATTCTAGGATTCTAGCTTGGGCCCATACTTTCAAATCTTTTTTCTTGCCTACCCTATGCTTACTGTGAAATGGATGCCTTATTAGGCCCACGCATGCCCATAATTAGGCAGTAATACAGTCTACTGATTAAAGGTACAGATTCTGAAGCCAATTCTGGTGTAGATTTCCATTTCTAATAATGTTAGTGATAATAACAGAATAAATTATTTTATCATGTGAGGCAATGCAGTTAAATCATTAAGAACATCACACACATTGAAGTCAGCCCAGATTCTAATACCAGCTCCACCACTTGTTAATTTTGGAACACTGACAAATTCCTTAATCTCTCTGAACTTCTATATTTTTAATCTGTAAAATAATAACAAAAGACTATTCCACAGGATTTTTGTGAGAATTAAGTATCATATGGTCTGGGGATGTAGCTCAGTAGTAGAGCACTTGCCTAAGAATTCACAAGGCCCTGAGTTTGACCCCCAGCACAACAAGAAAAAAAAGTCTGATATAACATATAAGTTTAAGACTTAGTACAGAAATTGGCACATAATAAACTCTTGGCAAAGGTTAATCTTTAATAGTGTTATTACCATTAACTTCCTCTGTGCCTTCATTCATGCAGTGTCCACAATATAAAACAACTCAACCAGCTTTCATCTTCAAAGTAGTATAGTATGGTTGTAAAAAGCGAAGATGCTGGCACTGGGGATATAGCTTAGTGGTAGAGCACTTTGTCTAGCATGCTAAAGGCCCTGGGTTCAATCCCCAGCACTGCAATAAATAAATTAATTTAAATAAATAAAGAGCAAGACAAGAAAATAGAAAGTGCCTATATCTAAATCTGCTACTAACTTTTTATCTTGAACAAGTTACTAAGCCTTTCTCTGTCTCTGTTTCCTCACTGCAACAATTTCACTGAGTAACAATTTCATTGAGTTGTTGTGAGGACTGAATTAGTACATATAAAACACATCAGCAGGGTACCTGGCAATAGAGCTTCATAAATATTCATGGGTTGTTATCTCAAGTGCCATCACCAGGGCTGGTAGAGTGGCTCAAGTGGTACAGTGCCTGCCTAGCAAGCATGAGGCCGTAATTTCAACACCTCAGGCCATCAAAAAAAGAAAAAAAAAAAAATTCTCAGGTGCCACCACTAACAAGAAGTCTTCAATGATCACCAATCAGATGGAATCTTTCTCTCCTTGCTTGAGGGCCCAATGCATCCCATAAACATCTTTCCTATGAAAAATTCTGTCTTGTATTATATTCATTTATTCATTCATTCATACATTCACTAAACATCCATTTAAACACTAGAGACAAAGAGGTGAACCAATCATAGCTTCTGATCATAAAGAAGCTCAATTCTAGCACAGTGTATTGGCTAGATCAGAGGTAGGCAAACTAGAGCCTGTGGGACAGGCTGCCTTTTGTAAAGGCTAATTGGCTATTTTTGAGGTACAACGAATTAAGTATTTACAACAGACACCCTATGGCCCACAAGCCTAAAATATTTATAATCCAGCCTTTTAAGAAAATGTTTTCCAGGGCCAGGGGAGTTGCTCAAGTGGTAGAATTCTTGCCTAGCATGTGTGAGGCCCTGGGTTCAATCCCCAGTACTTCAAAGAAGAAAATATTTGCCAACCCGTGTGATGAATTATAATTTTCTTTAGGAGAGTGACTATATTTTTCCTACCTTCGACTTCGTTGCAGTGATCAGCAGAGGCTCAATGTTTATAAAATAAAATTAGCAATCTACAAGAGATATATGTAGTTATATTTTTATCCAAATATTTACTTCAAATAAGAAATGGGACACCTTATTCCTTAGCCACTCCAAATAACAGTATACTGTTACCCAAATAAAAGCAAAACTCAGTAAAACTGCTGCTTGAGAAACATACCTTTCATTAAATAATGAAGCATAAATTTCCTTTCCAACATATCATCATTAAACAATACTTAAAAATAAGCCAGGGATGGTAGCTCATGCCTATAATTCTAGCTACCCAGGAAGTAGAGATGGGAGTGGGGGGATGCTATTCAAGGTAAACCCAGGCAAAAAGTTCTCAAGACCCCATATCAATCAATAAAAATGGGTATGGTGGCATGAGTCTGTCATCCTAGTGGGAAACATAAATAAGAAAACTGTTGTTCAAGTCTGCCTGAGCATAAACATAAGAGCCTATCCCAAAATAACTAAAGCAAAAAAGGCTGCCTTTATAGCTCAAGTGGTAGAGTGCCTGCCTAACAAGCAGGTCCCTGAATTCAAACCCTAGTTATGCCTAAATAAATAAATAAATAAATGGTAAAATGAAGAAACTACTTTTATAGCTCCCAAATTACAATACCTTAGAAAACAAAGGATCCCTTTATACCTAATGGAATTCAGCTATATGATTTTCCTTAACCTCTGCTTAAAAAGTTCCTTCCAAAGCTAGGCATAGTCGTAAATGCCTATAATCCCAGCAGTCAGGAGACTAAGGCAGGAGGACGGAAAGTTCAAGGCTAGCCTAAGTTATATAACAAGTTCCAGGCCACCCTGGGCTACATAGCAAGATCCTGTTTTAAAAAAAAAAAAAAAAAGTTTCTTCCATAATTTAATACCAAATAATGATAACAATAAGAGGTATGCTACAGAGAAAAGACCATAGCCCTAGAAGTAGAAGACCCAAGTCTTTCTAGCCTTATAATTACAAACTACAAAGCCATGGGCAAGACTCTTAAAAGTCTCCATGACTCAGTTTCTTCATGTTTAGAATGGGGATAATAATATTCAATACTATGTGAACATTCTAGAAACCATAAACAATATAAAATTTTAAGCAAAGAGCTATGAAAACCATGAGTATCAAAGCATTAAATTTGGGAAAGTGTATTTAGCATTCTTTAAAGCAACCCACAATCCCACCTACTAACTATTTGCACCAAGGATACACTGACTGGTAAGAAACAATTGAAGACAGATTTCTAAAATTCTAAATTTTAAATTTTAGGGCTACCACTTGCCTGTTAAATGGAACATCTTGAAGAATCCGGTCACTGCAGAGTGAAAGGAGGCAATTCTTCTGTAACTAAAGAATCAAAAGGAGAAAAAAATTGCTCAATAAAACATCACTGTTATCCTTTAGCCAGAGAAGACTGATGAAATAAGTTAATTCTTTTTCATCTTGACAAAACTCACAATCTTTATTCTTCAAGCTAGTTCTTTGTAAATGTTACTAAGAGCAGATCAATATTTTAAGAAAATCTGTTGCTTTAAATATAGGAACTTAAATATTCTGGCTTGTATCAGTATACTAAATTTGGATCTTAGAACACTCTTCAAATTTTTGTTTGTTTGTTTTTTGGTGGTACTGGGGTTTGAATTCAGGGCCTTGTAGTTGCTAGGCAAATAATTTTGTAAATTACAGCAACTGATGCTTCAGTACTTTAACTTACTTAAAAATGACTCAGATGTTTTATTTCTACATATATTTATGAGCATCTATCCTTTATATTTACCCAATTTACTTATTTTTAACAGTTATTACCCATTAAAACTAAAATATCAGGAAAATATAATCAGTACTTCAAATTATTTCTTTGCAAAAAAAAAAAAAAAAAAAAAAACCTAAAAGTTGTTGTACTTGAAACATAGAAATCAATGAACATTCTATCTTAAATATCTAACAAAGACAAATATAATTAACTGGCAAGCAACTTGGGGAAAAATGTATGTCAACAATTTTAAAGACATCTTTATGTTTATCTTAACAAATTTAAATTTATTTGTCAAAAATTTATCTAAGTCATGGAAACTTAAAGGCATTTGGCTATTTAATAGTTTTAATTTACATGAGAATTCACTTATCCATAAGTCAATTTGTTACCATGAAAACAATATATAAACATAAACACCCATTTAGATATAACATACAATATATACAATTATACATGAGAGAGAAAACCCCCCAAATTTGATAGCTTTCATCTTTATTCTGCCCATCTACTGTTAAAAGACTGACCTTCACTGGACCCATATAAATTTACTTATATTTTCTATCTTTTCCATTAGATGAGAAATAGAGTAATAAAGAGGTTAATTCCAGTTAATCTCCCTATCTTCAGGTGGCCTATAAAGTAAATTTGTCTTCTGTGTAATCTGAGATGGAGAAGATGTCAAATAATGATGGATGAAAGTTTTGCTTGGTGATATAACATCAAAGAATTTTAAGCCAGCCTGCTGTAAAGATGGTTGGACTCTAACATAGAGTATTGTATATGGAGCTACTTTTCTACATTTTGGTCTCTAAATAAAAAGTGTTATTCTTAGCTGTCTTGTTTGTTTATTTATTTTTGTTTTTCAGACAGAGTCTCTTGATATAGACTGGGCTGGCCTCAAACTCATGGTCCCCCTGCCTCAGATTCTTGAGTGCTGAGACTGCAGTTCTGTGCCACCATATTGAGGTTCTACCTCTCTCTCTCTCTCTCTCTCTCTTTTTTTTTGGTAGGACTGGGGTTTTGAACTCAAAGCTTTGTGCTTGCAAAACAGGTGCTCTATCACTTGAGACACACTTTGAGTCCATTTTGCTCTAGTTATTTCGGAGATGGGGTCTCATGAACAATCTGGCCTCGAACCTCGATTCTCCTTATCTACAGTCTCCCAAGTAGCTGGGCTTACAGGTGTGAGCCACAGGTGCCTGGCCTGGGCTTCTATCTTTTAAATGAAGTTTAAATAGACAGTATAATTAAATAATAGTAAACAAAGACATGAATCATTCACCAACCAGTAAATGTACACCCCTGTAACAGAAGGGTGGTTCAGGTTATTCCTGTGAAGCAGAATAATAACTTTTAGGGTGTGGGTTTTTAAAAATATTATTGCTGGGTATGGTGGTGCACACCTGAAATCCTAGCTACTTGGGAAGTAGAGGTAGGATGATCAAGATCCGAAGATCTGACCAAGCCAAACTGTAAGATCCTATCTTACGGGGGAAAAAAAAAAAAAAACTAAAGCAAAAAGGGCTAGATATATGACTCAAGTGGCAGAGCATCTTTATAGCAAGAACAAGACCCTGTACCACGGGGAAAAAAAATGCCCACCAGGCACAATTCTAAGACAGCCCAACACAAAAAAGGGCTGGCAGAGTGGCTCAAGTGAGTGCCTATCTAGCAAGTGTGAAGCCCTGAGTTCAAACCCCAGAGATTCTGTATTATTAACAAGCTTGAAGGGAATGCTCACATAGCTGATTAGCAGAATATACTGTCAGTAGCAAGGGTTTAAGGAATAACAATACAATGAGTACGTTTGTACCTACTAGTCAGTTTAAGAATATTACCCTGTGGGATGTGTGCATAACTTTGTGTATATGGTAATAATCATCAAATTGCATACAATTTGTGAATATACAATTTATGGCGGTAAACTCAGAGCCTCATAGTTGCTAGGTAGGCTCTCTACCATTTGAACCACTCCATCAGCCCCCAAAATAAGTGATTCTAATCTTAACCCTTCCCAGAAACTTTCATTATGACATATGAACAGACTATAGTGAAGGTACTACATGAACATATTTCAACCTGAGTTGAAAATCAGGTAGGTTTATTTATAGCTCTCTTTTACTAAGGATGTATCCCTTTGGGGAAGACAGTGACAGCTTTATGTTCAGGGTCTGTCTTCTGTCCACCTGACTTTCAGAGGCCATGAAAATCAAAGCCTAAATTTCATCTACTTTGGCAATTGCCCTCAATAGAGGAAGCTCGCTTTAATGGTCCGCTTACCAATTTAGGGTTGTCATTTTTACTGGGTTTTGGGTCTCTGAGTATTTTTTTACTAACTTGCCAACTCAGAAGACTTAAATAATTCAAGCAGAATTTTTAGAATTCATCCTGAGGATAGAACAGGTTATGTGGTCTACGAAACTGCTACAAATGGAAAACATGTTATCTTACTCATTCCTGTATCCTAGCATTGATAGTGTTTAACACAGAACACATCCTTTGTGCCTATTTGTTGAAATTATCACAAACTCAAGATTTTGGGGGAAGCTGAATTTTGCATGGCTTGCATTATTCCCCATAACATATGGGTTTAGATGCTTTTAGGCAGGAAATATACTTTTTTTGGGGGTACTGGGGTTTGAACTCAGGGCCTACACTTTGAGCCATTTCACCAGCCCCCTTTTTTGTGAAGGGGTTTTTCAAGATAGGGTCTTGCGAACTATTTGCCCAGGCTGGCTTCAAATTGTGATCCTCCTGATCTCTGCCTCCTGAGTAGCTAGGATTACAGATGTGAGCCACCAGTGCCCAACAGGAATATACTTTTTGTTTTCTATTTTTCTGTGCTGGGATGGAACCTAGTGCCTCTAGCACGCTAGGCAAGCACTCTACCACTGAGCTACGTCCCTGAGAATATATTCTTCAGTTGTCTACTTCTCTGTTATCTGACAAATTTGTTACTATATAGCTTCCAGAAGTATTTAAACTCCCAAGCTTGGTCTATTAAACAGAACTGTATAAAGGTAGGAGATGAGAAGGAGAACCTAGATGGATGACTTGAAAGGAAATCCACATGTACTTACCTGCTGGTGATTAGGAAAATGTTCCATGGCTTTGAGCAGCAAATGGGTCACATCAGCCAGGAGTCGGACAGGCATTCCTGCAGCAAGATCCTGCTTGGTTAAGTTAAATACACAGGCGCTTGCAGCCAGTTGCACTGGCAAATTCATTGGGTGATTTCTCATCCCAGTCACCACAAGCTGGAAAAAAAAAAATCAGTCCACTTAATTCATCTTATAAATATAAACCCTCTTCACAGAGCAACAAAGAAGTCATAGAACAATTCCAAAGAAGTATCAAGTATCTTTCCCAGCCTCATGTGCAAAGAGCCTAGGGCATTATCAGTTACTCACAAATAGCTCCTGCCTACCTGGTCAAAGTAAGCATCCAGTTGTTCATGTCTAGAGGTTTTTCTGTAAAGCAAATTAAACTTCTCTACACATGTACTCACTTTTGTATAGCTGAGACTATATAGTGCCATATAGTTTCCATATAGTTATATGGAAAGCAGTGAATAAATGTTCACTGACTTGAATTGAATGAATCAGTAGCAAACTTCACTCTCAATTCCCAACCTTCCCTTCTTTGAAAACACTGCTGAAGTTAGAGTACAATAAAATCCATTCACTTCCCCCTGGCTTAAACAACTATTCTTCACCTTTCTTCACTCCCCAAATCCCCCAAATCCTCTCCTTTTCTCACTACCAGCTGAAAACCTCACTTTCAACTAGACTAAGAAAACTGAAAAGACCAGGCACCATGGTATATGCCTATAATCCCAGTTCTCAGGAGGCAAACATCTGGAGGATCTTGGTTTGAGGCCAGCTCAGGCAAAAAGTTAGTGACAACCCCATCTCAACCAATAAGCCAGCATGGTGGTGTGCTCCTGTGATCTCAGCTATGCAGGAGGTATAGAAGGATCAGATGTAGTCTGAGGCTTGCCCAAGGCAAAAATGTGAGGCCCCACCAGAAAAAATAACTAAATCAAAAAGGGCTGGGGGTGTGATTCAAGTGATAAAGCACCTGACCAGTAAGTGTAAGGCCCCAGTACTGAAAAAAAAAAAAAAAGAAGAAGAAAAGAGGGAGGAAGGGAGGGGGAGAGAGAGAGAGAGAAGAAAGAAAGAGGGAGGAAGGAAGGAAGAAAACTGAATCAACCAGAAAAGAACTTCAGGTTCTGGCTACCCCAAATATGCCCCTGCCACCATCCAGACAGAGATATACATATGCCACCTTCTTGCAGATACCACAAAGTCTTTGTAGATTCCTCTTTTTTCTATTATCACATTATCATCATACTGGGGATACATTGTTTACAAAAGGGCTTACAATATATCTTAGTCAAGTTCACCCCCTCCTCCCTAGACTGATTCCTCTCTAAAGCTGATCCTACCATATATGTGCCAGCTCATTCCCTTCTTATCTACTCAGGATATCACTTCAGCTGTTCTCTTACTCTCATATCAATTTTTTATTCTCTATTAGCTCACTGGCATATAAAAAAGCTATTATTTCCCCATCTTAAAAAACAAGGTATTGGGAGGCAGAGATTGGGATATCACGCTTGTCCTTCAAAAGCTAAGTGGTTAAAACACCTTCAATGGGAAATAATATGGATCATTTACAAAAGTGTAGGAGGTTCATTACGCTCATGGGAAAGTTGGAATTCTAATATTGTATTTCTAAAAAGACTAAGTGGGAAGCAATATGAAGTTAATATACAGTACAATATATTGATTCTAGTTATATACTTCCATTTCTACCACAGATGGCAATAAAATATCACAGTGTTCACTGGTTTTAGGTAGTTAAATATGCCCTAGAAAGCATTTATATTACTTAATGAGACTACAAAACTTCAATAACACTATGCAACTGTCAGATCATCAATCCCATTAAAAATAAGAATCAAAGATTAAAAGAAAATTTACTTACAAAATCATCATCTACCAGGGAGACAATTTGAAAATTTTCATAACCAGTTTCTTATTCTTACCTTTAAAATTTCTGGCTTTGTTTTTTCCATTACATGTGTCAGGCTAAAAAGGTGAAACAGAGCTTCTCGGACAAAAAATGCCCGTTCGCTATACCGCTTCAATGCTTCTGCAATCTGAGTTTCATTGGCTTCTCCTGATACCTTTGAACATAACCAAAAGATTAACATCCAGAATTCTTTTTTTTTTTTTTTGTGGTACTGGGGTTTGAACTCAGGGCCTACACATTGAGCCATTCCACCAGCCCTTTTTTGTGATGGGTTTTTTTTCAACATAGGGTCTTGCAAACAATTTGCCTGGGCTGACTTTGAACTTTGATCCTCCTGATCTCTGCCTCCTAAGTAGCTAGGATTACAGGGGTGAGCCACCAGCACCCGGCCAGAATTCTTTCCAAACCTCTAACTTTCTCTATCTAAACATCAGTTGTAAAGATGGTATCCAGCATAGTTATGTAGGACTTGAAATTAAGGCGAATGATTACTTTCCAATTCATCCAGAATAGTCATCCTAAAGAAATATGTATTAACTAGGCTCAAAACCTAGTGTAAGCCTATCAGTAAAATTTTTATACTGCACCTAAAATAAGTGTTAATTGTAAGACATTTAACACTATTTATAAAGCCTTACTGCCGCTTAAGATAAACCCTTTCCCCTAGCTAACAATGTTACAGCTACACTGACCTATTTTTTTTCTGATCAATAAGCCAACCTCTTTCTCAGCAAAAGGTCACTACAAGCCAGGCTACTTGGAAGGTTGAGATTGGGGGGGACTGCAATTCAAAGCCAGCTCAGGCAAATAGTTCTTGAGATCCCCATCTCCAAAACAACCAGAGCAAAATGGACTGGAAGTGTGGGTCAAGTAGTAGAGTACCTGCTTTGCAAGCACAAAGCTCTGAGTTCAAACACCAGTCCCCCCCTCCCCCCAAAAAAAACCCACTACATATATTTCAATGTCCACTCTAACTGAAACCCTCCATTCTCTACTTGCCTAATTTCTACTTGTTCTTCCTAACCCAAGTTAAACACTTCTTTAGAGACCTTCCCTGACCCACTGATCTAAATCAGGCCCTCCCAAAAAACTTCTTTTATGGCTATTCTAATAATCTTTCTACTAGTGTAACCCATTCTACACTGTACCCAAACATGTAGAATTATGCTTAGCTCAGAATAAGCATTCAATGAGTACTCATCAAATAAATTTATTAATTTCTCCAGATTTACCAAGCTCTTTAAGAGGTTCTATGAAAAATTAAGTCCACCTAGGAATTTTCCATTTACAAAGGTTAATATACTTATGTTAAACCATGGTTCAGACATCAATGGGTAACCAAATATAGTTGATGCAAAATGGCACTTTATAAAGGTAATCCAACTAATAAATGAAAAAGAAATGACTAAAATATCACCATAATCCCCAAAGAATTAACAGATCTAGTAGGTACTGAATACTAATAACTGCTGACATCAAAGAAAGAGAACTAGACACTAAGTATCTCTCAATGAAAGAGCACAACATATAAGGGTCCTGCCAAAAGGATCATAACCTCCAAATACAGGTACCAATTTGCATAAAATACAAAGAGAGAGACATAGAAATATGGATGATAAGTATACTTAATCAACAAAATTTGGAGTGAGGGAAACTCTCAAAAGGATTGGATTCTTCTAGACAAGTTTTAAGAAAAAGAAAGGGATGAAGAAGGAACCTATAAGACATAAAGAAGAAAACCAGGACTGTAAAGTAGGCACAGTGTGTTTGTGTGGGGGGGGCGGTGACTAATGGGAGGGGGAAGGTGAACTAAGGAGATTAAGGTGATAGTGTATGGTAGATGGACTTCACATACCTATATGAAACAGAACTAGAAAACCTCTTGCAATTGCTTTAAGTGGGGTGGGGAGGAGGCTGAGGGGGAAAGGTTATGGGGACAATGTAACTAATGTGCGATACAAATCTAATCAGAATTGTCACTATGACACCCCCCCCCCCGTGTCATGACTATATCCTAATAAAAATTTATTTAAAAAAAAGAAAGATATACCAAAAATATTTAAATGTGCAAGATTAACTGAGTGCCTAGAGACAAACAGTTGGGTTATAAAACTATAAAGAAATGCAAGGACATAATGACTACCAAAATCAGGACAAAGGTTGCTTTTGTGGAGAAGGAGGAAGTTGTGCTCAGGATAGGGCTCACAGAAGAGCTTTGGGGTAGCTGGCAAAGTTCCCTGAGTAACAGTCTCAAGTGGGCTTACCTTATTTTCATTCGTTAAGCTATTATTATTTATTGTCTTTGAATCTGCTTTTTTTTTTTTTTACAGTAAGGTAAAAAATATAAGCAAAAATGTCACAGATAACCTTATTAAGGGAAAAAATTTAATCTTTTCTGGCAATCACATTATATAAGGTGACACAAAAATAAATACTTTGTGGATTTGTGTGTGTGTGTGTTACTGGAGCTTGAACTCATGGCCTCACACTTGCTGCTTGCTAGGCAGGCACTCTACCACTTGAGCCACCTCACCAGCCCTTAAAAATAATCAAATATTTAAGCTCACCAATTACATTTTATAATATTCATATTGGAAAATGCAGCTTTGAGGAAAGTAAAGGATATGTCAGAGATAACATTTCAACCTTTGATATGATATTTTACAAAGGTCTAAAGCAAATTAAATGGGCTGGAGGCAAGGCTCAAGTAGTAGCAAGCAAGAGACCCTGAGATCAATCCCTAGTACTGCCATAAATAAATTAATAAATCTGAACTACACTACATTAGTGATGTATGCCAAGTGACAACGGTGCATCTTGAGAATTTTTAGATTGTAAAAATAAACACTGGAAGTTCTTTACAAAATGCATCTTAAAGTTTTATTTAATATACATATATAAATTGATTATTTTTTAAACTACATAATCACATAAAAAAGCAATTGCTAGCTGAGGGCTGGTGACTCACACCTGTATCCCAGCTACTTGGGAGGCTGAGATCAGAAGAATAGAAGTTGAAGGCTAGTCTGGGCATATATTTCACAAGATCCCGTCTTCAAAATAGTTAGAGCTGGGGCTGGTGGAGTGGTTCAAGTGGTAGAGTGCCTGCCTATCAAGTGTGAAGCCCCGAGTTCAAAGCCCAATACCATCAATAAAATAAAACATAAAATAAATCAGGGCAAAACTGGATAGAGGTGTGGCTCAAGTGAGTACCTGCTTTGCAAGCATGAAGCCCTGAGTTCAAAGTCCAACCCTAGCAAAAAAAAAAAAAAAAGAGTTACTGAACAATAGAAAGTTTTAATTTGTTCAGTTCTTTTTGACTCGTCCTGAACTTTTTCTTTTCTTTCTTTTTTTTGTGGTACTGGGGCTTGAACTCAGGGCCTACACATTGAGCCACTGCACCAACCCTTTTGGTGATGGGTATTTTCAAGATAGTGTCTCACAAGCTATTTGCCTGGGCTGGCTTCAAACCCAGAGATTCTCCTGTTCTCTGCCTTCTGAGTAGCTAGGATAACAGGTGTGAAACACCAGCGCCCAGCCTCAACTTTTTCTTACAGATTCAGAAAGACAGTGAAATGTAAAACGAAAAAGACTGTAAAGAAAAACTTACAATGATAATCTCATTTTTTTATTTATTGGCAGCACTTGGGTTTGAACTCAGGGCCTAATGCTTGCTAGACAGGCACTCTACCACTTGAGCCACTCCATCATCTGGATAATCTAATTTAGACTTCATTTACTTATATATGGTTGGCTTTAACCATTTTATAAATTTCTTTTTTAAGATTATATGAAATACATCCTCCAGTTACATTTGAATATAAAATTAGAGAACTTTTTGTTTGGTATGTTCAATACTCTAAATCAATTTCATTGCCTGTCTGCTTTATTTGATAATAAACACTTTCTAGTCAGTGACAAACCCTCAAATCAAGCAATCTGAAGATGGAATAAGCTTCTTCAATTCAATAAATTTCATTTACTTGATCAAAAAAACAAGGGCTGGCCATGGTGGTACACACCTGTCATCCTAGCTATGTGGAAAGTAGAGAAGAAGAATGACAGTCCAAGACTGGCCCAAGGCAAAAGGTGATACCCTATCTGAAAAATAAACTAAAGCAAAAATGGCCAACGGCATGGCTCAAAGTGGTGGAGTGCCTGCAAGGCCCTAAGTTTAAACCCCAGTATTGCCAAATAAACAAAAATCAAGTGTCTGTATGTATTAGATTTACAAATAGTTTAAAATAGAGGAAATCATCCTTAACTTCTATATTAAGCTTTATTTAATGTATGGATTAAAATTTATACTCTGTGTTACTGGGATAAATTTAGGGCCTCAAGCAAGCACACTAAGTATGCACTCTACTTCTGAGCTACATCCCTCCCTCCCTAGTCTTCTTCTTCTTTTTTTTTTTTTTTTTTTTTGGTGAGACAAGGTCTCACTATATTGCCCAAGTTGGCCTGGCTTGAACTCCTGGGCTTGCCTTAGCTTCTGGGAATAACGGCACATGTTATCATACCATGAAGACAAATCTTCTTTTTTGTTTTGTTTTGTTATGGTGCTGGGGATTGAACCCATGGCCTCATATGTACTGCCAAGCTACACCCCCAATTCCAAATTTTCTTTTTTGGTGGTACTGGAGTTTGAACTCAGGACATCATGCTTGTTAGACTGGCACTCTACCACTTAAGCCATGCCCCCAGCCCTTTTTTGTGTCTGATATTTTGAGATAGGTTCTCTCAAACTATTTTCCTCAGCCTGGCTTCTATCCTCCTGATCTCTGCCTCCTGAGTAGCTAGAATTACAGGCATGAGCCACCAGGACCAGTCAGCATTTTTTTTACAGTACTCTATATACAACTCTACTGCACTGGATTGAAGCTATTTTTAAATGTGTTTCTCTCCTCTCCACTAGACTAGATTTGTTCAAGTAGGAATATTAACTCAGACATCTTTAAAAAGTATTTCGTGGGCTGGCAGAGTGGCTCAAGTGGTAAGAGTGCCTGCCTGCCTAGCAAACATGAGGCCCTGAATTCAAACTCCAGTGCCAAAAAAAAAAAAAGTACTTTGTAAACATTTGTTTTTTTTTAAGACTGGGGGCATCACTCAAGTGGCAGCCCCATTACCAAAAAAAAAAAGGGTGGGGAGTCTTAAGTTCAAGGGAAAGGTTTAAGATAAAGATACAAATTTAGGAGTAATCAACACATAAATTTCAGGACTGAGGCATGGAACACTTCAGTAGTCAAAAGCCTGAAAGATGTGGGGTAAAAAAAATTATAAAAGAAATTGAGACTGAGCAACACAAAAAATAGGGAAAAAATTTTAAAAATAAGTGTAATATTCTGGAAGCTAAGTTTAAAAAAAAGCCTTTCAAGGAGGAAGGCAAAATCAATTGTGTCAAATACCACTTTAGGTCAAATAAGATAAAGACTGAGAATTAACATTGGATTTAGCAGATTTCCCATGATTTTTAGGAGCTAAGAGCCATAGTTTGGTGCATAAAGTGAACCTGGGAATGAGGTGGTAACAAATATAAGAATTCTAGTGGAAAATAGACGCTTCAGGAAAACTAATGGTGACAGAAGAAAAAATTGTGTGGGGAAATAGTGATGACAGAGTTGGAAATTCTATGGTCAGAAAACCAGCAGTGGTGGTATTAGAAACTGAGAGAAGGACAGAACTAAAATAGTCCACTAGAGGCAGTGAGGTGCAATGGAAAGGACACAGGCTTCATAATCAAAGTCCAAGGCAGGAGCTAATACCAGCTGGCTTTTACCCTTAAGAAAGCCATTTCCTTGTTTCAGCAATTATTTCTTTGGGCATTTTTTTTTCTGTCCTTTTTTCTCCTTTGAAAATTTCAATTTGCATAAATCTTAGACCTTTCAATTTGTCTCAGATTTTACTGATGCTTTTTTCATTCCCCAGTCATTTTTCTCTGAGTTTAATTTTAGTTTCTATTGCTTAAAGTTAACTAATATTTTCTTCTCTATTGTCTAATGTGCCATTAATCCCATTGAGTGGGGGCTGGGATGTACCTTGGTGGTACAGCACTTGCCTAGCCTGCATGAGGACCTGGGTTCGAACCCAGCACAAAAAAAAAAAAAAAAAATCCCATTGAGTGTATTTTTCATATGACATTGTAGTTTTTATCTCTAAAAGTTTGATTTGTTTTCCATGCTGCTAATTAACATATTCTTCCACCTTTTTCTTTTTTTTTTTTGGTGGTACTGGGGGGCTTCAACTCAAGGCCTATACCTTAAGCCACTCCACCAGCCCTTTTTTGTGATGGGTTTTTTCAATAGGGTATTGTGAACTATTTGCCCAGCTGGCTTCAAAATGAGATTCTCCTGAGTAGTTAGGATTACAGTCGTGAGCCACCAGTGCTCAGCTCTTCCAGCTTCTTGAGGGTATGGAATACAATTTTAATAACTGCTTTAATGTCCTTGTCTACTAATTCTATCATATATGTCATTTCTGAGTCAATTTTATTGATAAATTCTCTCCATTATATCTTTAAAAAACAAAGAAAAAAGCCATTTCCTCTGTGACTCCCTCACAGAGTCAATGGGCCAAATAAGTAATGCACATGAAAGTGCAATAAGCACATCATTTATTCTTAGAACCACCCACCCCATATAAATACTATGGAATTATACTATTTCTTGCTTGTTTTTTAGTATGGCCTAAAAAACAGAGACACATAAAGCCAAAAAGTCAATCTAAACTAATTTAAAGCATCAGAACACATTACTGAGATAATCACTTCAGACAAGGTTTCCATCAACTATGCCAAATTGGGCAATTTTAAAATAGGAGATGTAGTAATCTCAGCTCTACTCCTTTATCAAGTTTTATTATTTTCCAGCCTTCAAATCAGTAGTCAAAAAAATACATTAAAAGGAGCACCAACTTTTGTACATATTTGAATCAAGGACAAAGTGCCAATGACTTTTATTTTTTAAAGATAATTTAAAACAGTGATTTATAACTTTTGTTTAAACATAGCATTCACCTAGGTAGCTTTAAAAAATACTGATGCCAGGTCCCACCTCCCTTCCTGTCACACAGGCCTTTACATATATCATTCCCTGTGCCTGGATTGGTCTTTGTCAAGTTAACCTACCCTTAGGATCTTCACTTGTTCACTTTTTCTTCAGAGAAACCTTAAATTAAGTCAGGTCGCTCTGCTAAACATTCCCACATATAGCATTATGTATTCCCAAGATTCTTAGATGCTGCAGTTTAAAATAAAAGTAAATGTAAACTGGACACTGGTGGCTCACGCCTGTAATCCTAGCTACTCAGGAGGCAGAGATTAGGAGGATCACAAAGTCAGCCTGGGCAAATAGTTCCAGAGATCCTATCTCAAAAAACCACCTTCTCACAAAAAAGGGCTGGTGGAGTGGCCCAAGGTATAGGCCCTGAGTTCAAAACCCATTACCACACAAAACAAAAGTAAGTATAAATAAATATAACTTTATAAATATATTTGTAATCATATCACCACCACTCCCATTAGATTTATCTTCCACAGAGGCAGATCCTTGAGTCCCAAGCAGTACCAAATTCAAATGAAGCTAAATTTTAACCCTTAGATGTGAGATCCCTTGCGAAAAGAAAATAATTACAATTTCTTTAGTGGAGATCTCAGAGAACTTGATTTCCCATTAGGTATTCAATTCAACAATGGGTATCCCTAGTTTCAGTGAAGTGATCCATTAGAAAAGTTATGTTTAAACATTTCAAGAGTTGGCAGTACAGCACCTGCCTAACAAGTACAAGGCCTTGAGTTTAAACCCCAGTACCATCCCCGCCCCGCAAATACTTTAAAATATCTAAATATCATCATTAACAAGATCTACTGCATATCTGAAACTAACTATGCAACTTGCACCATTTACAATTATTCATCTTCAGAAGAACTTGGTGATGCTATCTATTTTACAAATAAGGAAAAGGAAACTCAAAAAAGTTACACTGTAGTTTGCTCTGGGTCATAAAGCAACAAAACTGGGCTTTTAATTAGGATTCTGACCCTAAAGTAAGCCTGCTAAACAAGCTGTATTTCATGAACATATTTCATATATTAGACATTCATCTTAATATAGTCTTATGCTACTAAAATATGGTCACTCAGACAAAATAATACATTTTAAAGTCTAACCTTCAAATGTCCTTCGCCAGTGAGGAATTCAGAGTAGCCAGCATCAGTGGCCAGCAAACCTACAAACTGCATGCTGGGCCTTTGTTGTATAAAGGCTTCAACAGCTTTGTCTGTCACATGCTTTCTCCCAGAAACATCTAAGGAGACGAGATTTGGTAGGATGTCCTTTTGTTCTAGTAAGCGAAGAGCTATGTCTGATGTAAACTGTTTATCATCTGAGATGTCAAGATGATTCAGATGTTTTAGTTCCCGAACAACATCTAGTATCTGGGTAGTTGTCATTTTTAAACATTTCAAGTGGTGCATGGTTAGAGATTTGAGTCGGTCTTTGCAGGCCAGGAGAGCAGTGATGTCTGTGATGGAGGTATTAGAAATATCGAGGCTCTCTAATCTTGGCAATGAGGCAACTTCAGCCAGGTCTTCATTGTAAAAGAGAACATTGGTGATGCTTAGAGCTCGAAGACCAGAAAGCTGGCTAAAGCACCGCTCATAAGGATCCTCCAGGGAGAGAGTTAATGAGTTCAGCACTAAGCACTGTAGATTTTGCTGGATCCACTTGTTACTGCCAAGACCACTGATAATGTCTGTGATGGTGATGTCAGCATTTACACCTGTGGCATCAAGTTCCACTAACTTGTGGTGGCAGAAGGCTTTCCGAAAAGCAACAGCAGAGATCTTTGCTTTTCGAATGCAAGCTCGCTTTAAGCGCATCTGGTTGCCCCTGAAAATTCCCACAGTTCCATCATTCAGCAGACCTGGGGAAAAACAAGTAACACTAACTTTAAAAACAGATAAAGAATAGCTAAAATTTCCATCATACTTTACATTTCCAAAGTGCTCCTGTGTAATAGTATCTCATGTGATATTCATAATTCAGTGAGAGGAGGCTATTATTATCTACAATTTGCAAGTGAGTAAAGTGGGGTTTAGAAAGTGGCTGTCCAAGATTGGTGGAGTGGCTCAAGTGATAAACCACCTATCTAGCAAGCATGAGGCCCTGAGTTCAAACCATAGTACTACCAAAAACAAAAACAAAAACAATTCGAGATTATGAAACTAGGCTGATTGCCAGTAATCTCAGCTTCTCAGGAAGCAGAAATCAGGAGAAGCACAGTTCAAAGCCAGCATAGGGAAATAGTTCGTGAGACCCTATCTCGAAAAAAACCAACACAAAACAGGGCTGGTGGAGTGGCTCAAGGTGTAGGCCTTGAGTTCAAGTCCTAGTACCACACACACACACAAAAAAGAAAAGATTATGAAATTAGCAAGTGGCACAGTCAGGACTGTGGTAGACAATACTGGTATCTACAAACACCGATGAGGCTATGTGCTAGTTCTACCCAATGGGTGACAGGCTGAATCATCTGAGAAACAATGCGTGAGTTTCCATGTTATCTTCTCCTGCTATGGTAAACAAGAAGGCTTCAAATTCTAGACAGTACAGCTTTATGAAGGCTGAGCCTCTATCAATCTGGATACTATGGTGACCATGAAACAGAACCTTCTATGGACTTACAGAGTTTGTGTGAAGGTATTTGATTTGTTACCAATACATTTCTAGCCTATCCTTTAAATTTATAATATGTCATTATACAAATACACATACACACAATCTACTTGGCACACAAATAATGCCTATAATTCATTATTAAACCACTAGCCAAATCTGAAATCTTATAGCTCCCCCTTTCAGATGAATGCAAATAAAGTGGACACAGTAACCTTCTGAGGTAGTCTTCAAACAACAGGAAAAAATTAATGAAAAAAGCCTACTCCCCCCAACAAAAAAAATCCAAAGACAATAGGATACCTACTGGACTCATTGGAGTACCTAAAAGAGAAAGAGGGTAGTGCTAAAAAATTACTTGAAATAATATCGGCAAAAAAAAAAAAAAGTTAACTGTATAGATTGAATAAGATGAGTGAATGCTCAAGCATCTACTAGCAAACACAAGCCTCTGACAGAGAGGGAGGGAGGGAAGGAAGGAAGGAAGGAGAAGGAAAAGGAAAAGGAAAAAGATAGTTGAAATAAATTTTTTAAGCAAAAAAGAGAAATGATAAAAGAAGGAAATGGTAAAGAGAAACACTGGTAAGTCCTGTCGGAGTGGCTCAAGTGGTAAAGCACCTACTTAGCAAGTACTAAGCCCTGAGTTCAAACCCCGGTACTGAAAAAAAAAAAAAGAAAAGAAAAGAAAAACATGGGTAAATAGCATGTTTATTTTATTATTTATTATGTAAATAGATGTCCCTCATCTCTTGAGTTTTCTTAACTATGTTTGATTGTAGAAGCAAAATTAAAAATGTTTGAAATGGTTCTAAAATGTACATAGACAACTTAAGACAATTATAACCAAGAGAAAGTAAAGGGATATAGAGGGAGATAAGGTTTCTACACTTTATTCAGACTGGTAACATGATGAAGAGTACACTGTTATATGTTATCTACAAGAAGCTCACTTCAAATATTATAGAAACAAGTTGAAAATAACAGAAAAAATAAAAGAATAGAAGATACATCATGTAAACATTAAACAAAGCAGGCATGGATATATTAATATCATATAAAGTATAATGCAGAGCAAAGAAACGAAACAAAGAAAGACATTATATAATGATGAAAGGTTAATATTAAATGTGTGTACACCAAAAAAATCTGCAAAATATGTGAACAGAAACTGACAGAACTGAAAGGAAAAATATAGGGGGGGGTAAGAAAGGGGGTAGGGGTAAGCGGGGAGAAATGACCCAAACATTATATGCACATATGAATAAAATAAAAATTAAAAAAAAAGAAAGGAAAAATATATAAACCTACTACTACACGTAGTTGGAGACATAACATTCCTCTTTCAACAGGACAGAACCACACAAAAAACCAGCAAAGACAGAAGAACTCAATACTATTCACTAACAGGACCCAATTGACATTTATACAACAATTCCCCAAACAATAGCAGAACACACATTCTTCTCAAGTGCTCTAAAATAAATGTAAACAAATTTAAAATAACTTATATTATACAGAATGTATTTTCTAACACAATGGAGTCTCAAATTAAAAATCAATAATTAAAAAAATGTAGAATTAACACCAATTCTGCACAATCTTTTTCAGAAAACAGAAGACAAGGAAATCTTCCTCATTTGTTTTATGAAGCCAATAGTACCCTAATACCAAAACCAGATAAGGACAGAATAAAAGAAGAAAATTTATCAATATCCATCATGAATGTAAATTTAAAAATCCTTAACAATACATAAAAAAGAATTTTATACCATGACCAAATTGTGTTTACTCCAGGGATGCAAGGCTGGGTCAATATTTGAAAATCAATTTAATCCATCATTTTAATAGGCAAAGGAAGAAAAATCATATGATCATATCAATCAATATAGGAAAGACCTTTGACAAAATTCAATACCAATTAATGATTTTAAAAATAAATCATAGGATAAATGGATAGTGGGAACTTTTGAAATTTGGTAAGTTTAACACAAAAATCTACAGCTAACATTACACTTGATGAAAGATTGAATCCTTTTTCTCCAAGACAAGGAACAAGCAAACACATCTGTTCTTACCACTCTTCAATATGGTGCAAGCTCTAGACAATGAACTCGAGCAATAAAAGGAAATACAAGGCATACAAATAAAAAAGAAAAAGGTCTCTACTTGCAGATGACATGATTATCTATAGATACAGAAAAAGTATTTAATAAAATTCAGTACCCATTCATGACAAAGTACAAATTCCAAGGAATGTATCAAAACCCAAAAATACAGCTGCTGTAACTAAGTAAACTCAGCAAAGTTGCAGAAAACAAGATGAACATACAAAACTAATTGTGCTTTTTCATACTAGCAATGAATGCATGGACACAAAAATTCAAAATACACATAGGACTTAGAATCAGCAGGATGCCAGTGATACTAGCTACTCAGGAGGCAGAAATCAGAAGGATCTTTGTTCAAAGCCGGCTCAGGCAAATAGTTCGAGAAACCCTATCTCAAAAAACCTTTCACAAAAACAGGGCTGGTGGAGTGACTCAAGGTGAAGACCCCCAGTACCACAAAAAAAAAAAAAAAAGAGAGAGAGAGATTTAGAATCAGTTGGTCAGGGGCAATGGTTCGAGCCTACTCAGGAGGCAAAGTTAGGGACAATCATGGCTCAAGGCCAGTCTGGGCAAAAAGTAAGCACGACTCCATCTTACCAACAAGCCTGCTGTGGGAGAGGCATAGGTAGGAGGATCATAGTCTGAGGCTGGGTGTGGGCAAAAATGCTAGACCCTACCTGAAAAAAATAACTAAAGCAAACATATACACACATATACATATTAAAACTACTCAAAAGGAATGGTATCTTAGGTGTAAATCTAATAAACCATGTATACATCTGGTTATGTTAAAAACTATAAAACATTGATGAAAGAAACCAAAGAATTTCTAAACAGAGACACAAGATGCTCATAGAAACTCAACACACACACACACTCAAAAAAAAAAAAAGAAATTCTACAGAGTAAAGATAACAATTTTTTCTAAATTGACATGCAGGTTTAATCCAATTCCTATTCAAATACAAGGGAGATTTTTAATAGATATATTCTCAAAAGTATGTGGAAAGGGAAAGGAACTTAACAAGTTTGAGAATGAATAGGACTGGAGTCATAGTTCAGTGATAAAATGCTTACCTGGCAAGCCATGGGTTCAATCCAGGGAGGGAGGGAGGGAAGACCAGAGGAGGGAAGGGAGGGAGGGAGGGAGGGAGGAAAAAAAAGAAGACAGTGAGAAGAATCTACTCAATTTCAAGAATGATTATTATGTAACTACAGTAATCAAGACTATGTGGTATTGACGAGGGGACAGACATGCACAGTTATAGAACAGAATAGAGAATCTAGAAATAAAGCCATAGAAACACACCAAACTGAGTTTTGACAAAAAGATGAAAGCAACTGAAATTGAGAAAGGAAGCATTTCAATGAATGGATGTTACAGCAGTTGGACACCCACAAGTAAAACAATAAAAGCTAGTGGAGCAACTCAAATGGTAAAGCACCAGCCTAGTAAGCATGAAGCTAAGTTTAAAAACCAGTACTATCAAAAAAAAAAAAAAAAAAAAAAATTCCTTCTCAAGCCAGGTGCCAGTGGCTTATGCCTATAATCCTAGCTACTTGGGAGGCTGAAATCACAAGGTTCATGGTTCCAGGCCATCCCAGGCAAATAGTTCCCAAGACCCCAGGTCCAAAATAACTAGAGCAAAATAGACTGGAGGTGTGGCTCAAGTGGTAGAATGCCTGCTTTCCAGGTACTAAGCCCTGAGTTCAAACCCCAGTACCATTAAAAAAAAAAGTCTTCTCAAACCAAAATAAAAAAAAAAAAAAAAGATGAAGAAAAGCTTGTCCACATTAGAAAAGAAAAATGCTTATTCTGATAAATATACAGTAAGAAGCAAGACAGGTAAAATTAAATGAATTTCTTTTCTTGGAATCAGGTTCATCTGGCCTTGTCTTTTATTTCTAAGAAAATATTTAATTGGCACAATGGTACTTCAAAATCCAATGCCAATTAAGAGCACATAAATTTTGTTTCGCCTTTTTTTTTTTTTTTACCATGAAATGCCATGGTCTGAAGCAGTCGATCAGCCACCTCCTGTGGAAATACACCAGGTTCCTGCAGACACAGTGTTCCATCTTGTCTTGCTGAACAGAACTTCTCAAGGTGAGTGGTCAGGAAACTCAAGCAGATATCAAGTAAGGAATAGGGAGATGCCTCCTCCTTGGAGTCCAGGAAGGGAACATAAAAGAAACACAAAAGTGAACAAGTTAGTCTCCAGAAAAGAAGAGAACAAAACATTCATTTACTCATCCAATATATGATAGACAAGTGTAGTGGTTCACACTTGTTATCCCAGTACTCAAGAGGCAGAGACAGCTGAGTGCTGGTGGCTCAAGGAGGCAGAGATCAGGAGGATCTCAGTTGGAAGCGAGGGTAGGAAAATTGTTTTCAAGACCCTATCTTGAAAAAACGCTTTACAGAAAACGGGCTGATGGAGTGGCTCAAGCCCCAGTACCACAAAAAGAAAAAAAAAGGCAGAGGCAAAAGATTGTGAGTTCCAGGCCAGCCTGGGCTAAACAATGAAACCCTGTTTAGATAAACAGTCTATCTAACATTAGATAGACTGTTTAATTTAGATAAATAGTTTATCTATCTCCATCTGATGACCATCTATAAAAAAAGTCACTGGCAGAGTAGCTTAAGTGGTAAGAGCACGTGCCTCGCTAGCAAGCATGAGGCCCTGAATTCAAACCTCAGTGCCTCCAAAAAAAAAAAAAAAAAAAAATCCATTTGGTAGAATGAGGTGTAGCTCAAATGCCCTTCAATTTAAACCTCAGTACTGCCCCACACAAAAAATCCAGTTGGCATCATACTTAGTGAGGAAAGTCTCAATGTTTTCCCTAAAATCAGGAATAAGATGAGGATGATTGTTCTCACCGTGTCTACTCCACATTTTACTGAAGGTTCTAGCCAGGCAATTAGGCAGAAAAAGAAATAAAAACAAGTACAGATTAGAAAAGAAGAAGTAAAACTATTTCTATTTGCCAGTACCAATGATAGATACAGAAAATCTTCATGAAATTTTAAAAAACTATCAGGAATTTAAAAAAAAAAGAGAGAGAATTCACAAGGGTGTAGCTTACAGGACCAATACAAAAAAACTATTGCATTTCTATACTTTTACAATAAACAATCTTAAAATTATACTGAAGAAATAATTCTATTTACAATAGCATCAAATAAAATATTTAGGAATAAATTTAACAAAAGTATAAAATTAAGAAATTAAAGAAGACCTAGATAAATGGAAAGACATCCCATATTTATAAATCATAAGATTTAATACTGTTAAACTGATCTATACATTCAATACAATCTGTACCACACTTCTACCTTCATTTTTTTTTCTTTTTGTAGGAATTGACAAACTGGTCCTAAAATGCATATGGACATGGAAAAGACCTAGATAGCCAAGACAACCTTGGAAAGGAAGAATGAAGTTGTAGGACTCATAACCAAACAATTTCAAAACTTACTATAAAACTGCATTGATCAAAACAGTGCAGCCCTAGTGGAACAACAGACACAGAGATCAATGGAATACAATTAAGAGTCTAGAAATAAATTCTTACATTGCAAGCATGAAGTCCTGAGTTTAAACCTTAGTACCACCAAAGAAACAAACAAACAAAAAAAAACTGGTAACAGCTACCACTATCAAGAGTAAACTGTATAACAAATGGTACTGGAACAACTAGATGGATAAACTCATAGAAGAAAACATAGGTGTAATTCTTCTTGACTTTAGTAAATGGTTTATTTGATATGATACCAAATGCACATACAATAAAAGAAAAAATAGTTGTGCTAGATTTCATCAAAATTAATAACTTTTAGCCAGGTGCTGGTGGCTCATGCCTGTAATCCTAGCTACTTGGGAGTTGAGATTAGGAGAATCACAGTTCGAGGCCACCTGGGGCAAACAGCTCTTGAGACCTCATGTCCAAAATAACCAAAACAAAATGAACTGGAGGTGTGGCACAAGTGGTAGAGCATCTGCTTTGCAAGTGCAAAGCCTTGAGTTCAAGCACTAGTCCCACCAAAGAAAAAGAACTCATTAAAAACACAACCTAATTAAAACTAGGCAAACGCTAAATACATTTCTTCAAAGAATTTCAAATGATAGATGAAAAATGTCAACATCAATAGTTACAAGAAAATGTATTTCAAAACCTCAATGAAATAATACTTAACATACACTAGAATGGCTATCACTAAAAAGATGGCCCATACCAAGTGCTGATTGGGATATGGAGAAATTGGCTGGTGGAGATGTAAGATGTTACACCTGTCTTGAAAACAGTTTGGTAGTTCATCAAAAAGTTAAACGTAGAATTAACATATACCCTGCAATTCTACTCCTAGATATAAACCAAAGAGAAATGAGAACATATTTTTAAATTAAAATTTGTAAATGAATGCTTATAGAAGCATTATTCGTAGTAGCTTATAAAAGTGGTCCAATATATGAAACAGAACTAAAAAACCTCTTGCAATTGCTTGAGTGATGTGGGGAATGTGCTGAGGGAGAGAAACAATGGGGGAAATGTAAACAATGTACAATACAAGTCTGATTGGAATTGTTACTTTGAATCCCCCCGTATAATGAATATATCCTAATAAAAATTTTATAACAAAAAAGTGGTCCAAGATGTTTGTACTCACAAGACTAGTATACCAAATATGTAGGTTTTTGTCCACATCAACAACCAGGTCTTTTTGCTTTTTAATTTCCTAACTGCAACCAGTTCTGACATCATCTGGGGTCCTACAGTTCAATTTGATTCTAATACTAACTGCTCAGAATGGACATAGACTCCACAGGCTAATGGCTCAGCCCTACCAGCCTGCCCCACACTTGAGACCCAGATTCCCTCCTGTACTTCTTTTTTATTAGCATAAATTATGCAAAGGGATTTCATTGTGATATTTGCATACATGCATATCCCACCCGTACTTCTAACATACAGGTTATAAACTGAGGGTTCCCAGGGTCCTCTTGAGAAGGACCTTATGTTCAATTATTTACTAAAATGGCTCTCAGAACTCTTGAAGGCACTTTACTTACTTCTAACCTTCAAGAAGGGGAAAGGTGCTGAAGGTTGAATTAATCTTCAGTGACCAATGATTTAAGTAATCATGCATCTGTAATGAAACTTCCATTAAAAACTAAAAAGGATAAGGTTTAGAGAGCTTCCAGGCTGCTGAACATATAGGGGGAATAGGCAGAGACCATAGAAGCTTCAAACCCTTTACCCCACACTTTGTCTTATACATATCTTCCATCTAGTTGTTTTATATTCTTACAAATATCCTTTGTAATAAATTAGCAATATAAAGTAAACTGTTTCCAGGGTTCTGTGAACCTCCCTAGCAAATAATCAAACTTAAGGAAAGATGTGAGAACGTCCAATTTGTAGCCAAGTCAGACACAAGTTGTGGGTAACCTAGGAACTAACTACTTGCAGATGGTATCTGAAGTGGGGGGCAGACTTAAAGGACTAAGCTCTTATAACCTGTGGGTCTACACTGACTGTGGTTACTGTCAGAACTGAATTAAATTGTAGGATAACCAGGTGGTATTTGCTAAGAACTGGAGAACTGCTTAGTATTGGGGTGGGGTGTGGGGAACATACATTTGGTCAGAGGAGTATTCTGTGTTGAGACTTCAGTATGAGAAAACAGTTTGCTTTTTTCCACTATACGGTATGGTGTCAAAAGTGGAATATAAGGCTGGGTGTGGTGGTGCACACTATAATCCCAGCATTAGGGAGAACATGAGGATTACGAATTCAAAGCCAGTCTGGGATACACAGTAAGATCCTGTCTCAAAACAAAAATTTTTTTTAGCTTTAAAAGAAATTTTTTTGGTAGTACTGGGGTTTGATATCAGGGTCTCACACTTGCTAAGCAGGGACTTTACCACTTGAGACACTCCACCCTTTTTTTTTGTGCTGGATATTTTTAAGATAGGGTTTCTTGAACTATTTGCCTAGACTGGCTTATACCTGTAATCCTAGCTACTCAGGAGGCAGAGATCAGGAGGATCTCATGTTTCAAAGCCAGCCTAGGCAAATAGTTCAAGAGACCCTATCTCAAAAAACCCACCAAAAGGGCTGGTGGAATGGCTCAAGGTGTAGGCCATAAGTTCAAACCCCAGCATTGCAAACAAATAAATAAAAATAAAAACCATGCCTTTGAGACTGGCACTGGTGGCTCACACCTAGCCACTCAGGAGGCAGAAGTCAGGAAGATGGAAGCCAGCCCCAGGGAAATAGTTCGGGAGACCCTGTCTCGAAAATACTCAACACACACACACACACACAACACACACACACAACAAAAGGGCTGACAAAGTGGCTTAAGCACCTGCCTAGCAAGCCAAAAAAAAAAAAAAAAAATGCTGCCTGGGGTGCTCACTTAGCATGATGGGGAGCAGGGGGAGTAACCATGCTTTACATATAATTTTTGTGTCTCCTACTCTGACAAGAGTAAATGCTCAGTGCCTATTAAGTAAGAAATATTGAACCATAGCTTCATATAAACACAGCATACTTGAGGGCATAAGCAATGAAGACAAGGCCAGAAAGAGATCTAATATCCTCTTGTAGCTTTCTTTTTTATGCTCCCCTGGGGCTTGTAGATTTTTGCTTGTTTGCTGTTGTTTTTGTTTTGTTTTTTTGTGGTGCCAGGAGTTAAACTCAGAGTATTGTTTGTGCTAGGCAAGTATTCTACCACTCAATGAACTATATCCAGCGCCAGTTTGCCTTCTTATATTCGCTTTCTTGAAGTATTTAGTCACATATACACACTCAACTAGAGGCACTCCTAGTCATTTCCCTATGACTTAGGTATGTGTTTTGTTGGTTTGTTTTTATATGTTTATTATTTCTTTATTTTGTGGTGCTAGGCATAGAATCCAGGCCTCAAGCATGTAGGCCTCTTTAGTATATTTGTATTTCTAGGGCCATAGCAAACAATTATTTCAACAGTGCAAGTAATGACAGGAGTGGGGGGGCCTCAAGTGGTAAAGTGCTTGTCTAGCAAGTTCAATGCCCTGAGTTCAAACAACAGTACTACAAAAAAAAAAAAAAGAAAAAGAAAAGAAAAAGAAAACTCTTTAAGCTAAGCACTGATGGCTCACGCTTATAATCCTAGAT